ACGTCTTTGGAAGACTAGGGCGGTTGATATACATTCAAATTATAGTTTGACTCTTTGAGCCTTGGAGCTCAACATTAACAGAGAGCGGCGCCTCACGGGTTCTCTCGCAATAAAACGGCTGCTTAAGTGACCATTGTACCTTATATTTAAGAATATTAACACCCTTATTAAACACTCATCCGTTTATCCAACAATTAAAAACAGAGTACCGGACAAAGATTGATAATATGGGGTAGAGGTCCCAAGCTGGTTATTTTGGAGTTTTTCTTTTGTTTAACTTTTAATTCATTAATCTATTTGATATCGGTTGGCCATTACTCAATAGTAACGGAAATGTAAAAGTTCACTAAGAAAGTCCGGTCCTGCACCTGGGAAATGTAAATGAAGATTCGTATATAATATGTGCTTGGAAGTGGAACGGTTGTAATGAGCTTTCGCTGACGTTGAGTTAGAAACATAAAACAGTAATAGTGTTTAACAGCTGCATTCTCCCCAGATAATCTGGAGTAATAGATAAATGAATCATGAACACATGAAAACTAGGAGAGTTTCACGTTTAATAACAGAGCGTAATTTGACGGCTCATTCTGATATAAAACCTTTAGTGTTGGAGATGGAACAATTTAAAAATTAAACATTTCTTAAATTCGTTTACGGCTAGTCAAGCTGATTTGATATGGAAGTTCTTTCATCATAATTTGGGCTTAAACTGGTGTTCAACATAACGACTTTGATGTAAAGCAACGATACCGAGAATCACTTTCTAAAATCAAATCTATTTTCATATAATATAACGGGAATATAACAGATTATAATTTACAGCACACACTAGTTGAGATCAAATTTGTCAAACGAAATATTAAAGTCTAAAACGCTGGAGATATCCTGCCAAACACAGCCCGAGACACAGAATAAGAAAAACTATCAACACATGCTCTGGTTAGATTAAAACGGGAGACTAAACGGGAGGTGATCTAAAGATGTATGTTTTCTACGAGGAAATAGAGTTCACTAGTGAAATAGTCTATTTCACTCTATTTCACTCTGTTTTCACTCTATTTCAAATAGAGTTCACTAGTGAAACACATTTCACTAGTGCAAGAGGTCGTGCAAGCAAGGTTTTAATTGTAGCAGTCAATAGTTAATAAGCGATATATTTTCCTTGGGACTGATTACTTTTGATAGTACATCACAGTAAAACAGCTCATTGACTAAGGAACAAGCCATTTGGTGGTGACTTTAAAAGGGGGCCCTGCTGAGCACCTTCGTACTTTATATGTTCCAGCACGTCATTATTCAAAAACTAAAAACTTTCAGTACCTAGCCCCAGATGACTATTATAGTATTATCCTTCACAATTATTACCATTTAAATCTTCTCCACTGCTAAAATTATTGATGTTACGAAGTACCAGCAGGTGGCCGATGCTCAATTATTAGATAGTAGATTTCTTCATCCCAGTTTTTTAAAAGATTTAATAACTATAAAACTACCAATATGCCAGATTATACGAAATTGAGAAAGACTTCAAAACAATTTGTAGCATTTCAAGGAGCATAACGTTCGAATTATTGACCGAACAAATTCTTCGCAGTTAATAAGATCACGGGTCTGTACACAATCTTTTAATTAATAAGAAACGTAAAAAATTAGTTCGCTCATAGTTCAAGTTCAACCGAAGGGATTGTACATTTACATGACAGAACATCTCAGAGAAAGCAAAACGGGGTCCAACAAATTAAGGACGGTTAAGGCTGATTAATGTAATACTAATTTCATTAATGGGCGGTCTCTAACAGGTCTCTAACAGGTGTCCCACAAGAGAACAAACATCAGAAAATTCCTCATGGAAACGGCTGAAGGGCTAACAAAACCGCACAATCGGACAACTGTGACAGGAGAGGGGGCAACCTGGAGGGTAACCAATCACAGAGCTCAACACCTATCACGGGACCGGTAGTTGACCAATGACAAGCCGAGTTGAGTGGTCATCGGGGCGGAACGAGATGGGCCACTCAGAATTACGGGTATTCACATTTAATTGGGGCTTGTCAGGTATGATTTGTGCGAGGTCGGACGATTTGACGCTCTCACAGAATCGCTGCAAGCATGCTATGAACAAGGGGAGAAGTAGGAGAAAAGTGGCAACGGAAAGAGAGCAAGGAGAAGCTAACGATAACCACACTAGTAGAAAATTACCCCAGTCTGCAAGGAGCAGCTGATGTTACGGCGATTGGTTTGCTGTAAGTCGAGAATTAGAATCTAGTAAACGGTCCGAGGGAAAATTAGTTGATTTTGACACACCGCGCGGTCTTTCTCTGGTGAGGGGAAGGACATGAGCCCATGGAATTGTTAATTCTGGATGTCATCGTGCATTTTAGGAACAATCTTTGCCGCCGTACTAAAATGTTGCAAAGCATACAACTCAAAGGTTTTGGCATGTCATTAAATTACCAGGGTCAATTATAATCCAGCCGCATGGACACGCGGCGGGCCAATAAAATTAGACGGACCTAAGCACGGGACTTGAAACTGACCAACCAGCGATGAGAAAACGTGCACGTGACACACGCGACCAATACAAAACGCGGAATTGATTCTACTTTAACTGTTTTACAAGAATTTTATTGAAAGGTATTGATTAACTTTGCTAAAAACGTCACGTTAGATGTTACCACCAAATATATCTCCCTGACTTTCACGCGGAGCGAATAAAATTGAAATTTTAAGATTCCGGGATAAGCGAAGCCCGGGTTGACGCCGTGGTACCCCTCGCCTGAACACAACAACAAATAATGATAAAATTACTAAGTACTGAGCACCTGACAATTTAACGAGGACAATAGGTCCGGTGGATGTTTAGACCTGGTGTCACGTGACCTAACACAAATAATAAATATGCAACCTTTTGGTAATTTTACGAGCGTTTAACTTTGCACCAACGCGATGAAACATCAAATTGGGCATTTGAATTGCCCTGACAGCATCTAGCATTAAACACAGATATACTGCATGTATAATTAGGGCAGTCCGGTACCCTGTCAGCAATGTTCGTCACCTCTTTAGACTGAGAAAAGAGTCTCTAGACCGGAGGTCCGAGTGACGAAACGATTACCGGATTTAAACAGCTCTCACCTCCTCTCCGAGAGTTAACTTATCCGCTACAAAAGAGGGATCTGTGGATTAGGGGAGAAGAAGAAAAGGGGGTAAAATGGGAAGATGTTACTCCCTCTTTGATGGCTGGCGCAATATAAACCTGTCAATCCGTTTAGGGGCTTCGGCGGTAAAAACACAGAAAGTTTTGCCGACAAGCACAAGTACATAATTCTGGCCTGTCGATAAGCAATAAGGAGTTTACGGGCAAGGTCCGGCACACGAGAGAGGACTCAACACTGAGCTGAGCAAGCTAAATAGCCTAGAGTTTGAGATCATGTTTGAACAGGGGGAACGTGGCTGCGAATTAGAGAAATAGTTAGATTTTCCTTACCTACTGACAGACCTGAGTGTGCCGGTGTTCACAAAAATATTAATCTAAATTTTAAGGGTTCAATTTAACAAATCAGTAAAAGTTCGTTTAGGCTAGTGCACGTCTTCAGGACAGATCCGGGAAGGTTAACTAATTATTTTTCGTCAGGCCGTGGGACCTGATTTTGTTTTCTCCGTGTCTGCTGTGTCATTGTTACAACTTCCGGGGGCATCAGGCCGTGACTGTGTGACTCAGGGGGAGGCCTAGGGAAGCTTTCCCGGCCTTCTTTCAGAATCAAGGATTGTGTTGTTTGTTAATTTAATATTTGGAGGTAAATTATAAGGGTTTGGAGGGAAAGAGAGAAGCTGATACAGGAATAATTACTGAGGAGAAGAACTGTTAAGAATTATTGGATCTGGAGATCCTTTTCCATTTACTACCCTCTACTTGCCACAAACCATTCATTTCTTTTCTATGATAGACAGGATTTATCGATCCATGAATTAATACCACCTAAATATCGAATTTAAAGCGTTCAATAACGTTGAATAACTGATTTCTTAAAGTTGATTTATTAAAGTTGCCGATATTATTATTAACTGATTTATCGCGGTAAAGCACAGCAAAGTTCAGAGAAAATGGTAAATTTGAGGCTTTGTAGAACTAGATGGCATGCTCTAACACTTACAACGACCAAAGCTGCATTCTATATCTCCTTGTGAGTTAGCACAGTTTGGAATGAAAACCATTTGAAATGTGAGAATTAATTAAGTTTAAATCAATTAAGTTTTAAATTATAGCAGGACTCCAATATAATGGATATTGACTTGTGTGTGATGACTCATTTCTAATGACCGACGGTAGTTATATGAGCTTGCCGTCATCAGCCACATTTCAAAATCAATAACAATAATTCTACGAACATTTACTTCAAAAATCATCCCAGACCTGTCTTTGCTGAACTAAAACTTAACAATTAAAAACTTCAACAACTATTGATGAGCAAATGCGCCATGATTTATCAAATTATGTTTTTAAATAATAAGTATAACGTAAAATGCATTGTAATTTAAGCGCAGCGTTGATATTTTCATTTTAAACCAAGTAATTAAATCGTAAGCAACACGTTTTAAAAATCGAGAGCATGCGATTTGAGGCGGGATTGAGCTGATCTCGAAAAAATGCGGTTTCAGAATTTAGATGAAGAGATCGTTGCTTGGAAACCTGGGACCACCGCTTAAATGAGATCTTATCTGGAAAATTAAATAGCATTTTGGACGATATAATGGTGGACTCAATGTGAAATTAGTGTGAAAATATTAAGTTTTTAAGGCTATAGTAAACTAAAATGTGATTCGAATAACAAAGTTCAAATTAAGATAACTGTATTATTTGAATCTTATAGTAGACGGCAGAGCGAGAGGTTATATAAAATGGAATTTTGTAAGTAGTTATATTGTTACGGTAAACGTGCGTCATAAGTGGAGATAAACCGTAAAACTTTTTCTCTAAAACATTGATTAAATTGACAAACCTTGCTGAGAGATGATCTCACTGATCCAGCGTCAACTCTCACCACCACCCCACCTTCCTTCTTTTTCAGGGATCAGTTAACCAGTCACCAGGGTTGTGTTACAAGTTTCCATGACAGCACGTGGTTTCCATGAAACCACCTAGTTCAACTGTTATACTGCAATGGTAAAACACGTGGGGGTAAACTTTAGATTTTAAAAGATTTTGGTACCCGATGATTCGTTGCGAGAGGAAGTTACCAAGCAAGATAATTACTGGCTTTGCAACTTAAATCAGCTAAAACGGGTTAAACTTAAATGAACCATTAAATTTTGGAGACATTAAAGGATGTCGAGTATGGGATATTATAAGAGTAAGGTTTATACTGCTTCACAGCTTTAATAACTAGGTCACTAGTTAGCTACATACTAGCTAGGCCTAATAACCTACTATTTAATAGTTTGTTAAACGCCCGATATCAACTATATCCATCGGCACTTCAATTTAGAGAAATTGGGGTTCTCCCAGCAATTGCTTAGTAGCAAAAATGAAACAATAGCCGAACTTAAAGTTCGGCAAGTTCGGAACTTGCTTACCTGGCTCTGTTGTATGGAGGGAAGATGACCACTAAAGCATGCAACCACATCATTATCACCATAACCATGGTAACATCATGTCAGTTAACTTCCAGTGTCAGCTGTGTTGTTGCCATGCTTAGTGAAATAGGAGAATATTACCAACGTTTTAGAAAGAAAAAAAAACACTGCCTTTTATGCGTTATGATAATATATCGACTCTATCCATAATAATAATAAATAGTCAGTATATTAGATAGTATGTAATTATAGTCAGTATATTAGACAGTATGTTTAGCACTTCTTCCGTTTTTCAGCCGTTAAATGACATTGGTCAAAGTGTTAAGTTCTATACTAGCCCACATGAGTGACCGCAATTCATTTTCTCCAATATTTCAAATTTCTTTCACAACTCATCACATCGATGCCCTCCAGTCCATCCGAAGTCCAAGCTTAACTTTCATCTAATTTGTTTACAATCTGTCAAAAGCAGTATGGCCGATAGAAGTGGCGACATAGTAATTAATTTGGCGTAATCGCTGGCTGAAAACGGTTGCATGCTATATGATTGCCTGGGATGTTGCAAAGCATAAGCATTATAAAGCAACTCCGGCTCAAATGAAGCCTAAAACTGCTTGAAGAGGGCAGGGCCAAATTTTCTCAAATTGCATTGTCTAGACCACAGAATGAAGGCACACATATACAATGCCGTCCCAACCAATGAATAATATGTTACAACCATAGCCTCACTCATTGCTGTTCGAATGAGTAATAATAATAACACCTTAAATCTTAACGAAAAATATCTTATTTACGATGTAATATTTACAATAAATTCTACAAGATAATTGTCAATAAACATTTCCTTCTGTATAAAGAGTTTAAACTTTACACAGTGAAGATTGTTCCGCTTTTAAAAACATATAATCGGTCAATAATAAAACAACACTCAACAGATGTCGTTCTTATTCTTAAGCGTTCAAAATCACTCACATAGCAGCGCTGTTGAAATTCAACACAAAAAAATCAAGTTTTCTTTAAATTGTACGACATCGCTATTTTCACCATTATTCACTTTTTTTTTGTTTCTAAAAATGTCAAAAATGTATGCCAAAAAAACAAATTTCCGATAATAAACTGCCAAAATTAAATCCATTTCTTCTATATAAGTTTTCATCTCACACAATGAATTAATAAAGTTCCCTTGCTTCTGTGCTTCTCGGAGGTATTTAAAAGCATTTTGAATGGACCACATCAGGGCCATAAGCATCAAACTCCTCTTTAGTTGTCCACAAGTTCTTGCTCACACTCAACTCCGCCCAAATGGATCCCCCCATCCAAGCTGACATCTTTCTCTCGGGCGGAGCTACAACGTTTACAGCGGAGTGTTTTTCTGCAATTCCGGCTCGCAGCCGCTCGACCAGACCTGGTACAAGCACTAATTAAACACCCATTAAAGATGGCGTGGGTTAGAGAGTCGTTTACCGTTATTTTAGTACGGCCAGCTCCGATCATCTATAACTAATGGCCAGGGCAGATCACTATATCCCGCTTCTTATCTTCAACTTGTCAATACTCCCAATAAAAACTCTTTCTACCTATCAACACGTGTGCGCGGCGTCAACACGTGTGCGCGGCACCGGACCTACTCAAATTTGAGGACAAGTCACAAGATACACGACCCTGAATTATATGACGAGATAACAACCACACGATATATATAATGTAAATACCAATAAATTTGCTGGCACACAATTAAAATGGTTATACCTGGAAACATAGAAGACGATCCGGTCAGAAAGACAGACTGAGCGACGATATCCTGCTTAATCTGACCATTCAATGTGTCGATAAGCTGGTTAACGCTTCCTATCAGCCCTGCAGCAAAAAATCGTAAAATCATCTGGAAGTGCGAGATAGCCTTGTCAAAAGAGAGGTTAAATGTCGCTATATGAAATTTACCAAGTTTAGTTTAATGCGTTTAACGAGGAGTAATTGTTTAGCCGTGAAAAGAGGGAAGTTAGCGTTTTAAAGCTGTTCTCTAGAAAAATCTAGTAGTCCAGTTTGGCCTGGAAGTATCTAACAGAAGAATGTACATGATGTGGATCTGTTACCACTACACCACCCGGCCGACCTGTCCAAATAACGCCTGTTTAATGTTTAGCAGACGGCAGAGATTGGACCTGGCCATGATTTAAATATGGGAAGTATGGGAAGTATGGCCACGACATGACACTTTCTGGCACACGCCAAGTATCTTATGACGCAAGACGCCGTTACTGAACCTCCAAGAAAGTCTTATCATTGCCGAATAAAAATTAACGTGTTGTCAAACCTTGTGTGTTCTTTATTCCGAAGAGATGGGGTTGAAAAAGACATTCTGTGCACTGGAATAGTTCTCTACCGAGGTTTATCACTTGACCTGTAATTGGTAATGTTCTATCAGAAAATTGTTCGAAAGTTTAAGAAAGAGAAATAATATAATGTAATACGGTAATGTGCTCTTTGTACTTGCTTACTAGTAGCTCTAGCATTACTCTCTCTGGTATTCTCAATCAGACAAAACTCAGATAATTATTTTAGAAAAGCTTTTCTGCCGTAAATCGGGTTTTATTTCACTTTAATCTCATTTAGAATGTAAATGAAGCTCATAATTGGGGAAAGTTAGAAACGTCCATTGGTGTTTGACATTAAACTGTCTTATTATCATCCGCTCTGTATGATCGGTAAAGTCAGCACTGGAGCTCTAAAAGTTATGATTTAGATCACAGTAAATCTGTAGAATTGTGAGTGAAGTAATTACTAAGACAAAGTAAATTCCAGTTTTGTTAATCAAGTTAAACTTCAGATACTTACAATCCGGCAGTTCATACTCTGTACTTAGAGCCGCAGGTTTCGACATCTCTACTTCGTAGTCCAGTGCTACATAGCCACGTTTTTCCTGTAAATAACAGTGAAAACTACGTAATATAGTAACGCTAATTAATTATTATAATCATCCCATGACTAAATGCGCGAGGCAAGAAAACTAGTGGGAGGAGGAGGAAGAGGAGGTGTCGAATACAAGCTATTGAAACATTCAATAATTTGCCGATGATATGATATTTTGACAGGTACATAACTTATTCGCCAAATCGGAGCTCAACACATCCAAAACTCGGAAACACTAAATTGCTCACATGTAAAGCTGTACATGTCAACTTTTTTTGGAAACATGAAAACATTCCTGTGCATTGTGCGCGGTGTCAAAAACATTTTCAGTAATAACCCTAGCACAGGTCTGTTTGTGGCCGATTTCGCAGATTTAAGTTAAGCAAAAACTGGCGGAACTATCGGATAGCTGGAGAAAGCTTATCTAGCTAGATAAGGTACTACGAACAACACAGCGCGAACCTAACCTTTATGTCTTCAACTACCAGGGGATCAAAGTCAGAGGTCCTGTAGACTTGATCTGCTCGTCTCTGTTTCAGGAGTAGTTCCAGAGCTCTGGTGACATCCTGGCCTCCAACTTGGAGCACTACTGCTTTATTTCTCAATATGTTCACTATGGTGAGGGTTAGATTTGGAGGGGGGTTTGTGATTCTAAAAGGCTGGGTGCTATATCCGGAGTACTTAGCACTCATACCACCCCCCCCCCCCCTGCATAACTCTCACAACTTTATATAAAGTTTACAGTTTAGTCTCATTGTTCTACTGTGTTATAACAAGCTGAAATAAATCTTGAAATTCCCAAAAGGCTCTCAGAGATCAGATTATTAGTTATTTAGTTATTAGTTATTTAGTTATTAGTTATTTAGTTATTAGTGATATTTTGAGGAATTGGAGGTGGCTTTAATTGATTACTTTTTAATTACTAATGCTTGTTTTAGTTTTACTTCCCTTTAAAAAAGGATATTCAATTCAACCACAGATCAAGCATAATTAACCACTAACTTTGAATATCCGGATAATTATGAAATATACGACGACTTCCAAGTACTATTTAATAAGTGAATAACTTACGGTTCCAGATGGGTACAATGCTAGTGTAAGTGTTGCTCATGTTAATCACAATACCACTCGTGTGGCCGGAACTGATTAAAGCCAGGAACTCTTGTGGTACAAACATTCTGAGGAACAACTGATTAAAGCCAGGAACTCTTGTGGTACAAACATTCTGAGGAACAACTGATTAAAGCCAGGAACTCTTGTGGTACAAACATTCTGAGGTACAACTGATTAAAGCCAGGAACTCTTGTGGTACAAACATTCTGAGGTACAACTGATTAAAGCCAGGAACTCTTGTGGTACAAACATTCTGAGGTACAACTGATCAAAGCCAGGAACTCTTGTGGTACAAACATTCTGAGGAACAACTGATTAAAGCCAGGAACTCTTGTGGTACAAACATTCTGAGGAACAACTGATTAAAGCCAGGAACTCTTGTGGTACAAACATTCTGAGGTACAACTGATTAAAGCCAGGAACTCTTGTGGTACAAACATTCTGAGGTACAACTGATTAAAGCCAGGAACTCTTGTGGTACAAACATTCTGAGGTACAACTGATTAAAGTCAGGAACTCTTGTGGTACAAACATTCTGAGAACAATTATTATATTTATTGGCATGGGCTTGCTAACACCTGATATACTCATAAGTGAACACCACATGCGAGGTATTGAAAATACCGGACAATTTGTCTCACGGTTAAATAGAATGTGCTATCGACCAAAGGTTTATCGAACATTTAAGTGCTGATTGCTGATCTGTACATCTTCAGGAATTCTTCTGATCAATGCTAATATCACCCTAGGGCCTAGAGACACAAAAGATGCTTAAATATAGACCTTAGCTTGTGATTTCTTCTACAGTCAACACTCATACCGGAGTGAGCGGACCCAAATTCAAGCCGCTAGCGCACTCTCAGCTAAAATCTGATACCTAAAACTCACAAGCCTAATGATACCTAAAACTCACAAGCCTAATGATACCTAAAACTCACAAGCCTAATGATACCTAAAACTCACAAGCCTAATGATACCTAGAACTCACAAGCCTAATGATACCTAAAACTCACAAGCCTAATGATACCTAGAACTCACAAGCCTAATGATACCTAAAACTCACAAGCCTAATGATACCTAAAACTCACAAGCCTAATGATACCTAAAACTCACAAGCCTAATGATACCTAAAACTCACAAGCCTAATGATACCTAAAACTCACAAGCCTAATGATACCTAAAACTCACAAGCCTAATGATACCTAAAACTCACAAGCCTAATGATACCTAAAACTCACAAGCCTAATGATACCTAGAACTCACAAGCCTAATGATACCTAAAACTCACAAGCCTAATGATACCTAAAACTCACAAGCCTAATGATACCTAAAACTCACAAGCCTAATGATACCTAGAACTCACAAGCCTAATGATACCTAAAACTCACAAGCCTAATGATACCTAAAACTCACAAGCCTAATGATACCTAAAACTCACAAGCCTAATGATACCTAAAACTCACAAGCCTAATGATACCTAAAACTCACAAGCCTAATGATACCTAAAACTCACAAGCCTAATGATACCTAAAACTCACAAGCCTAATGATACCTAAAACTCACAAGCCTAATGATACCTAAAACTCACAAGCCTAATGATACCTAAAACTCACAAGCCTAATGATACCTAAAACTCACAAGCCTAATGATACCTAAAACTCACAAGCCTAATGATACCTAAAACTCACAAGCCTAATGATACCTAAAACTCACAAGCCTAATGATACCTAAAACTCACAAGCCTAATGATACCTAAAACTCACAAGCCTAATGATACCTAAAACTCACAAGCCTAATGATACCTAAAACTCACAAGCCTAATGATACCTAGAACTCACAAGCCTAATGATACCTAAAACTCACAAGCCTAATGTCTTGAACTCCTCAAAGAAGAGTCCCATGATCTGCTCCCTCTGTTGGCACGTGGTGAACACGTGCTCAGTTAGCAGGAATCTGTACTCGTCAGGACACCGCCCCACGTGGTAGCTAAAGAACAGTTCGTCTCGCAGGATCTGAAGAGAGGGACAGTAGATGAGAGTCATCACCTACTGGAACATGGGCCAGAGGAGATAAGAGTAAGAAGGTACTGGACACTACTGCGCGACCAGTTATCCACAGTTTAATCCCAGTTATTCCCACCCAGGTGAGGAAGTAGGAACATGTTGCATGGAGAGTAACCAGGGTGACCCACAGTACACAGAAAAGTAGGAACATGTTGCGTGGAGAGTTACCAGGGTGACCCACAGTACACAGAAAAGTAGGAACATGTTGCGTGGAGAGTAACCAGGGTGACCCACAGTACACAGAAAAGTAGGAACATGTTGCGTGGAGTTACCAGGGTGACCCACAGTACACAGAAAAGTAGGAACATGTTGCGTGGAGAGTTACCAGGGTGACCCACAGTACACAGAAAAGTAGGAACATGTTGCGTGGAGAGTTACCAGGGTGACCCACAGTACACAGAAAAGTAGGAACATGTTGCGTGGAGAGTTACCAGGGTGACCCACAGTACACAGAAAAGTAGGAATATGTTGCGTGGAGAGTTACCAGGGTGACCCACAGTACACCGAAAAAGATCCTCTAATTTCGGCGGGAGTTCGGGGATAATGTTTGAATAGCTTTAAGATATTATATATATATATATTGAACATGATGGTTTTAAGGAACTTCGGCTAGTAGCAACTCCATTTAACCGTGATCAAATTCAGTCCAAAATCTCACATATTCTACATTAAAACTAAAATTATTTTATCACTAAAAACTCACAAAGCTTTTGCGTCCATCTCATCAAAAAGTAATGTGGCAGTCTCGGCTCTGGTCGTGTTGTCAGTAAAAACATGCTCTGTCAAGAGAAGGCTCGCCTCCTCCGGACCGACCCTCAGTTCATGAATAAACACATGCCATATCATCTGAGAAGTTCACTAATTTATACTTGAGATCTGAGAAGTTCACTAATTTATACTTGAGATTTGAGATGTGCACTAATTTTACCCTCATGCAGGCGTGACAATAGACAGGACTGAACTTAGCAGAATTTTCACAGTGCAGGTTCAATGTTCATGCAACATTGAAAAGACAATATGCAATAGCTGAATGCGCGAAAATAGATAAAAATAAACGTCGGTCTCTTTGGACACTCCCCAGTCCCCATGTTGGTTACCAATGGCACGCTGTGTTTTCCATGATAATGTCAATGAGCAATTTCAGCTGGGTATTCAAATGGTGCACCCAATTAATTTTCGTTGGAGGGAGGGAGGAACAGGGTCTAAAACATTTGTCGAAGTTCCTTCAGAACTCATTGATAACTGATCGACAGGCCCGCGCCCCGCAGGAGCATTAAATTAGCAGGAGCATTAAATTAGCAGGAGCATTAAATTAGCAGGAGCATTAAATTAGCAGGAGCATTAAATTAGCAGGAGCATTAAATTAGCAGGAGCATTAAATTAGCAGGAGCATTAAAAATAAATTAGCAGGAGCATTAAATTAGCAGGAGCATTAAAAATAAATTAGCAGGAGCATTAAATTAGCAGGAGCATTAAATTAGCAGGAGCATTAAATTAGCAGGAGCATTCAATTAGCAGGAGCATTCAATTAGCAGGAGCATTAAAAATAAATTAGCAGGAGCATTCAATTAGCAGGAGCATTAAAAATAAATTAGCAGGAGCATTAAATTAGCAGGAGCATTCAATTGGCAGGAGCATTCAATTAGCAGGAGCATTCAATTAGCAGGAGCATTCAATTGGCAGGAGCATTCAATTAGCAGGAGCATTCAATTATCTGTAGCACTTCCACTTCCTTTACCAGAAGTTCTTACTATTGTAAATGTAAGTTCTAACCTGCAAACACCTTTTCGTGGCGCCCCGAGGATATAGAGCTACTAAAACGAAGGTTTGACCAGTTACACCACCAAGATTACCGCGGAAGAAAGGGAGATACAAACGTCCAAAAATAGATATCGATAGTATCGGAACATTCCGAGTTGCGGATAGTGTAATTTAAAGGTGAGCAGTTCTGAAGTTCCGAAAAGATGAACGATCTGATGATATAACCAGCAGAACATCCTTCTTTAGCAAAGCAAATTACGCAGAAAAAGAAGAGACATCTGATAATATTCATCGGTATGTGCAATCCGCATACCGACACATTCAACATAGTGCATTCAGCAATCGATGGCTCAAAAAGCTTGAAAGTTATTTTTCAGATTAGAAATGATGACTGCATTAACATAAGATCACCATGATATTATTATTAAGCAATTTAAGTGGAGTATGATAAAATTATAATTAAATAAAACTGACAAACCTTCAACATTTTCTTCTTCTTTTCTTCCTTTTCCTTATCGGTAAGAACTCTTGTTCCGTTCAGTGGTAAAAGCGACTGTGAAAAATATATATGATAAAAAATAATCAAAAATGAGAATAAAATTCAATTTGCTTCCTAACAGTTACACGTTGTTTGGTGTCACACTGTATTGACTTTACTCTCTTATTTTTTAATTTTGCTATAGCGGGATGAGAGTTGGTTCTTAAAAAGCAAACGAGTCAGATTTCTCCTCACCTCTATGAGTAAGGTTAGGAGATCCCTCTCCCTCTCCCTCTCCCTCTCCCTCTCCCTCTCCCTCTCCCTCTCCCTCTCCCTCTCCCTCTCCCTCTCCCTCTCCCTCTCCCTCTCCCTCTCCCCCTCCCCCTCCTCCCTCCCCCCTCCCCCCTCCCCCTCCCCCCTCCCCCTCCCCCTCCCTCTCCCTCTCCCTCTCCCTCTCCCTCTCCCTCTCCCTCTCCCTCTCCCTCTCCCTCTCCCTCTCCCTCTCCCTCTCCCTCTCCCTCTCCCTCTCCCTCTCCCTCTCCCTCTCCCTCTCCCTCTCCCTCTCCCTCTCCCTCTCCCTCTCCCTCTCCCTCTCCCTCTCCCTCTCCCTCTCCCTCTCCCTCTCCCTCTCCCTCTCCCTCTCCCTCTCCCTCTCCATCTCCCTCTCCCTCTCCTTACTCCTGACTTAAGGATATAGCACTTTAATATAGAGATATCTCTTTCCTCGTTATTTTGCCCGAGAAGTAATATCATCATTCCGCATTAAAATGGGCACATAGCGCTAACACAAAAGCGTGAAGAACCTGTTATAACTACATAACTGGGGATCTTTTAGTTTTACACATTACGTTACGTTAACAATTAACATTCTCGGGTGGGGGTCTGCAATCCTGGGATTCGTGATGACGTAATATGTAAACATTCCCAATAATTAACAAAGACAGCCCTTCTGCTGGTCTAAAATAGACACAGAAAGTAGTATAGCACAGCTAGACTATAGTAGTATAGCACCTAGACTTTGCGTTTTAAAATTGAGACACAATTCTCAAGATAGTTTTTTTCTAGGACGTAAAATTGAAAATTTAGCTGCGTCATCCGAAAACACACAATTAAAAGAAAGTTACCTTTCGTTGAGAAGGTAAAGTTAACCCAGCGATGATACCACCATCATGATCAGGTTCATCAATCATCGCTACCATGGTTACCATCGCTACCATGCACCTACAGCTAAATTATCGCCATGGTTAGTTTAAAGTGACTGTTTACAACTTGGATGTGTTGCTAGGTGAACAAAAGAAGAGCTGGTTTTGTTGTGGTCAGAATATTAAATAACTTTTCAAATTGCTACCAACAAGGAAATCAGACACGGAAGCACATTTTATTTCGCATATTCGGGTACAATGAAACGCAAATGTATCTTGGAAATGAGATTAAATTGTGCATATTTCTTTGTTTATGTTTCATTGTATACATTTCATTGTACAAATTCAATGTATATTCAATATTTCACATGTGGTAGGTTTATGTTAGGATTGGCAGCTGCGTAACATATAAATAATTGGAAACGTTTTAAATGTAATAGATACTGAAACTCAAACAGACAATACACATTGCTGACAATTATCCCAAGCAACTTTGTCCCAGTGGGATCACCAATCAAAAATAAGAAGGTTTCAGCCAGTAAAAAATCATCTCATTTTCATCCACCAAATTCTTAATCAAATCCAGTGAAAGGTTAAAAAATTGCGATCATCAAAAATCTTACAGAAAAATGACAGAAAAATTAAACATGAACTTTTATCTCTCCGAGTTTTTGCTGACAGTTCGACGCATCATATTATTAATCTTGAGGTGTTGTTTACCCTTGGAACTGGAAAATGATCGGGTCAAGTCTTTCCTTGAGCGCTTGTACATATCTTCCTCCGCGTACGACATGTCCTGGGAGTAAATTGTAATTGTATTATGATATTGATTACCTTACTCGGGAATATTATGACTGGGATAAAGTGGTGGGTTTTGGAAAATTCCGCCATATTTTTCCCGGTCATTAATTTTCCCAGTCATAAATTAACCCGCTATAATGTTCCCGAGTAAGGTAAACTAATAGTAATACATTTTGATGCTTGGTGGGTTTTGGAAAATTCCGCCATATTTTTTCCGGTCATTAATTTTCCCAGTCATAAATTAACCCGCTATAATATTCCCGAGTAAGGTACGTAATTTCGTTTTAATATTGAGAAACTTTGTTTTAATGCTGATTTTGCTAATTGGTTTATTGTTAAACTCCTTGTGCTAGTAAGTTAATAATCAGTGCTTTACGTGATTTTGACTAAGTTCGAGTACTTGATTTTGGTAGACTCAGTTTTACAAGCTGATACTTGATTTTGGATACAATTTTACAAGCTGATACTTGATTTTGGCATCATCAACCTCATCGAATACCAATCGAACACAATATGTAATTGATGGATTGATATCCCAGCATCTCATTTATTTAGCTACAGCTAATTGTTTAAATAAAGCTACCTAGGGTACCTTTAAATCTTTAATTGTGTAATAATTCTATAATACATTTCACTAAAGAGTAAAGACAATTAAACATATAATTTATCTAGAACATGTTGTTAAAGAGAGAAAGGAAGTGTGCTAGGAAAATGTTTCCTAAGTTTCCTAATCGTGACGTAAGCTTCCACAGATCTGTGTCAGGTTGCATAAACAATAAACATATGGTTACATAGAAATATACACGATTTTCAAATTAAATATGGAATTATATCAACTGGGCGGCGCTCGGCCTGTCACTCCGCCATAACTGCATGCTTATAAACAGTAAAGACTGGGGTCCCTAGGTGGTATGGAATATGATCAAATACTCAATCACGGATCGGGAAATTGAGCGGCCATCCACAAAAGAAAAGCGGCCGCATTTCTTGTTCACCTTCTTTTCCAGTGAATGAGTTAGATTCATTAAAAAGCGTCCTCAGAGATAGCAATATTGTATATTGTAAGCGAATGAGCTACGATGAGTCCTAGCTACATGCTACATGAAGTCCGAACCAAAAAACATAATTCCACTCTCTTGATTCCATTTTTATTCTTATAATTTCCACTCCGTATGGATGCTGCATTATATTTGGAAGTCAGGTTGGTTACTTGAGTAGACTTACGGCACCAAAAAGGTTAGATAAATTTACGCTTACACGCATCAAACTTCCATGAGTACAAACGAGAAATTTAAATAACGAAAGGATAGCCTTTTAGTCTGTGTGACAATGACCTCGGTCACACGGGGACCTGTCTCATAAATGGTAGACTGAACAAAAGTTTAATTCTACTCTTAAAAATTAATCCCGTCAAACAGGACGTCTAGAAGGGGGGAGACTTGGAAAGAAATTTTGGGTGTCTAGCTTGGAATTTAAGTGTAGAAACATCTTGATGAGTTATATTGGTCGACATTGTGTACAGCTCTGAAATTTGTAGTAGAGACCTGGGGGTTGCAAAGTGGCGTACGTTAATAATTGTCGATTAGAGACTATCATAAAACTTAAAAGAAAGAGAAATTCTATATCTTTCTAAGTCGAGTAAGTCGAGCTTTGGGGCAACATTGTTTGGATCTGCAAAAATCAATTTAATAAAAATGTGTGTTAGAAATAACTAAACCGTCGATTTGAGCTCTAAATTATTGATAAAACATAATGTAATATAAAAAACATAATGCAATATAAATTAGCACCTGTAAATCTTGATCTTCTTCTGGCATAGTGGCGTTAATATCGTAGAAACTTTCTCTTGCGCTCATCCTGAAACACAATCCATCATTACAAGTTGCCTTCTACAGAAATCAGAATAGGCCTGCTTTCTTCAGAATAGGCGTGACTGGTGAATGTTACGGGTGTGACTAGTAATGTATTAGTTACCCAGTGAGTTTCTGCAGGAATCCCTCGTCAACTCTATCCACGGTTCTGTCTTTCTGTGGAGCGGTTCTGGTCCGGTGGAAGGTGTAGGATTCAATTCTCATTAGTGTCGCTGAAATAGTAAACAGGGGAAACAACCGAAACATGTTAACTATTATGACGTCATGTCTTGTGTTGTTGCAAGATATGTATTTTTGAGATTAAGTAACTGTAAGATGTAAGATGTAAGATGTAAGATGTAAGATGTAAGATGTAAGATGTAAGATGTAAGATGTAAGATGTTAGATGTAAGATGTAAGATGTAAGATGTAGGATGTAAGAAGTAAGAAGTAAGATGTAAGATGTAAGATGTAAGATGTAAGAAGTAAGAAGTAAGATGTAAGATGTAAGATGTAAGATGTAAGATGTAAGATGTAAGATATTAGATGTAAGAAGTAAGATGTAAGATGTAAGATGTAAGATGTAAGATGCAAAATGTAAGAAGTAAGATGTAAGATGTAAGATGTAAGATGTAAGATGTAAGATATTAGATGTAAGAAGTAAGATGTAAGATGTAAGATGTAAGATGTAAGATGCAAAATGTAAGAAGTAAGATGTAAGATGTAAGATGTAAGATGTAAGATGTAAGATGTAAGATGTAAGATGTAAGATGTAAGATGAAAGATGTAAGATGTAAGATGTAAGATGAAAGATGTAAGATGTAAGATGAAAGATGTCACGTGACCCTGACTAAGGGGTCGTTCACATATTACATAATCAGCCGAGGGGGGAGGGGGGTTTCCAAATGCTTACGGTTGATTACGGGGGGGGGGGGGGGGGGGTTCGGTCGTTGATTATGTAATCAACATTTTCTTTTTTACCCTCTAAATAATAACAATTTGACAATATTTTAGGCCATGATTACGTAATATTGCTGTCAGGGGGGGGGGGGGGGTTGGGTCTTGATTAGGGTTGATTACGGAAGGGGGGAGGGGGGTAAAAATTGCTCAAATATTGATAACGTAATATGTGAACGACCCCTAACCAAGTGTAAGTATTCTAACCTAAGAAGTAGGTAGGGAGAGGCGCCGTAATTACGAGGTCGTTCGTTTGTTTGTACTCCGGGATAAGAATTCGGTGGGCGTGTAGATGCACTGGATTCCACCCCCAAGCTGTGGATATATGACATAACATTATTAATACAAAATCTTAGAATCCAGACTCTGCCTCGTACTTAATACTTATGGGTACTTTAAAACCAGTTCTTAATGTTCGTCTCATTAAATTTCCCGTGCGACGATCCAAATTCCCCGAATTATAGATAATGTTCAATATTTGTATTATTATTTATAAATAATAGTTAAAATATTGAACATCCTTACACTGTCCCGTTAGTCTTTGAGCAAGATCTGAGTGATGTAAAGCCTTGGGGGCGTATTTGTTGTCACCAAATATGGGCGTTTTCAGGAGTTGGGCACAGTGTACCTGAAAGGTGGTTGGTTTTGAGAGATTGGTAGCTAGACAGTAGACCAAGCAGAGAATCAAAGAATTTCTGAGGATAACATAATGTATATTCTGATCTCGCTTAACTTTAGGTAAAAACCATAATATTTACAGGTATTAATAAAAGAAAGGTTTTACCGACCAATTAAAAGCTACCTTGAGTTGATGTTTAGCTCCGGTGACAGGCTGCAGTTCCATCATGGACATAGCATCAAGATAAGTCTTTAGAACCTGACAGGGTAAGAGAGAGTTAGTTTTAGATTATTACATTCTTAACGGTCATGAAATAGCAGGCTAGGGTTGTGAAGTTTATTGCATTCGGTACGAGAATAGCTCCTTCATTGCCGCTCTCAAATTATCTATTTTCAGCCTATCCTGTCATATGATATTTAAAATTGTGCTTGTTACATATTTTCTTGTCTGTAATTATTATCTAGGTTAATGATATTTATGACATTATTACGAGTAGAATGTTATGTAATGGTGCAGCATGATTCTGTTCAATATAGTTATATCTTACTATATATAAAGCGAGACGATATATATGGATGTGTTTATCCGTACCATTTTACTGACACCACGGCATCAACTTTAACGCAACTTTCCGCAAAAACCGTAAAAGATATACAACTGATACTTTTTTGACTGGGTCAAATGCTTTAATGGCCTCCAAATCAGCATGAAAAAATAAAAAATTGGCCAAGGAATAGGAGTTTTAGAGCCCAAAATTTGAACCCCCAAGTGGTGTCAAAAACGCGAATTAAATAGGTAATAATTATTTTAGTCTCTTGAGTCTTGACACTATTTTAGGGTTATACGGGTTCCTGCTAGTAAATATTAAAATGTGACCAGCTCATTACGCGTGATGTGTGTAGTTACAAGGAGACTTTATTTGATTTATTTTCAAAAATTGATTTGATCTTAATAAATAGATCATTTATTATCCATCATAATTTATCCGTACTCGTTTAAAACTACGCTCCACAGGGTACGATATAACACCACCCCTGTAATTCCTTATGACCGATGAAGGTGCAAGAGGATGAGTAACTTGCTGATGGTCGCCATCACGTTTTTTCTCCAGATTTTTGTCACAGAAGATTTATTGAAATATTCTGGACATTTTTGATACTTTTAACATTCTAGATATTCTAATATACACAAACCGATGTAAAAGACTGATTATCTTAAAGTTGAGTAGCAAGCAATCCATAAAGTTACAAACGTCTACATATAAAATATATATATAAATTATAACGTCTAGAGATCATAAACCTACTCCCAGTATTACCTTGCATCTTAATACTCAACACCAACATTTTGATTGTCACATTCCGTGTTCCTACAACACGTGTTATTAACCCCATCACACGTGCTATTAACCCCATCACACGTGCTATTTTGTATTTGCACTTAACTTTGTTTCCACAGCAACTAGTTGCTGTATAATATGGAGGAAACTATTAAGAACAGGGTGGGGCACACTAAACACACTTTAGGGCACGATAATCTGACTCCCTTAAGTACTTCAATTACTGTTTCAATGATACACAGAATTTAAGTTTTTACAACTAAACGGTTTTAAGTCCCCAGACTCAAGGAAGCCGTGCCCTTTTAGTTTTAATGTTTCCGGATATGTACATATTATACGTGTTAAGAGTTATATACTTGTTATACACTGTAACTACTCATTCGAGGATTCCGTCGCCAAAATTTGAAAATTTGATTTTTAGAGGCCACACCCAATCAACATTGAATCAACACCCAATCAACATTGAATTGCTTATACTCGTGTTTGCGAACATACTAGAAACTCCATTTTAACACATTTGAATAGGTTATTAAATGCGGGGTTTGAGAAGATGCCGCGAAAGCGAAACGGATTTAAAATGACGAAGTTGTTTTCCAAACCCATAAATATCTGGAATAATGACGACATCCAAACAGATCAGTTTCCAAATTTTTAAATTGTTCGCTCAATTACCCCAATTAGTTCAATCATGGTTAATAGCCTACTAAAGATTAATAACCTAAGGGTCGTACACATTACGTAAGCAGCCTAAGGGGAGAGGGGGTTTGTAATTTCTACACAATAGCTATTGTAAAAATGAGTACGGAGGGGGTAGGGAAGATGAGGTTTAAAATGGCAAAAATATGCCTCACGTAATATGCGAAAGATCTCTAAGAAGGGAAAAAACGAATTTTGTAACAAAAGGTGTAAGTTATGTAATAGCTGTATATAAATATCAGCAAATAGTAATCGCCAATTTATTCAACATTAGTCCAATATTCCGTACCCGATATTTTGAAACTGTGTCCCTATTGTTACTAGTTATCCTCTTGGTCATACCCATCTGCCATCTGAAGAGAAAAGGGTATCAAGATTTACATCTTATGATGAACAAAGGCTTTACTAACAACTAAGGTGGGGACCCAATATCATTTGAAAAAGAAATAAGCGTTCATTTCCTAGTTCTACTGTCATATCTGAAATAGGTTCAACAAAAAAAACAACCCTTATCCCTAAAATAGTCTGCTGAGAAAGTTTATAGAAAACTTATTAATAACCTTCCATTCCGGTTGAAGTGTCCGATAATACCTCCCACTTCTCCTTTAGTTTGTTCTGGTATTCCGATACACAAGGCCAAGTAGCTCCTCAGTACCTGGGTACAAGTTTTAGGTAATCATGTGATACGTCACGTGATATATCACGTGATATATTACTGAAACCACTCAATACGCATTTCTACGTGCAAACTGTATATCACTCATCACTGGTTGAGGAGACAATTGAAAGAAATAAACACCCTTAAAACAGAGAGTTTTAAAAAGACAGTATCCAACACGCCCGACAACTGACAAGTTTTTAGTTTTCGTGCACAATTGTGTGTCCATTAGCATGTGTCTGGTAGCAGAGTTTTCTTGGATACTGCAGATAAATTTATTACAAATTACGAAAATGCTGACCCTGTGGTGCTTCATAAGGTTGGAGAGGTAGTTGGCCATTTCCTGGTCTTTGGCGAATAGCAGACAACCTAGAAAATGTGATTCATTATAGATAGACTAGATAGACTAGATATACTAGATAGACTAGATAGACTAGATAGACTAGATAGACTAGACGTTGATGTTATTGAAGTAACACAGTTAAATTAACTGCCGCTGGAATTATTTTTATGAGAGAAACAATCTGTCGACACTTTGAATTTTGATTAAGTACCACAGTCAAAATTCAATTCTCGATTCATCAAGACAGCTTTCTGTAGTCGAGAATTCACCGGTTTGAAATCATTTTTAAAGGCTACTCCTTAAATGTCCAAATTCTAGAGTGAACGAGTAATTGCGTCCTTAAGAATGTACGCATTATATTCTACATATTATTATATTATAAAAACGTTTATCAGAATGTTAGGATATATCCTGAGAATTGAAATTCGGTCAAAAATCCATGGATCAATGTTTAAATGGCTCGAAATATAGTGATTTACAACATATTTATAGTAATCAGACCTCGTTTAATATTTATAGTCAGTTTAAAGCAGCGCATGTTGTAACCATGTTAAATCATTGTCTGGGAGATCCACTGGAAGTATTTTCTCACCTGTGGTATCTCGATCAAGTCTGTGGACTGGATAAACCGGAGTTACGTTAGCCTCTTCAAGCTGCTGATATATAGTCTTCCCAACTTTCGGACCTGGACGAAATAATATTATTTAAACTAATTACAACACTACAAATCTATTACATTTATTGAGAATTATGTAATGTAACGCGATGGAAGTATTTTAAGCGGGCATATCCTGTCCAAACCCAGGATGCACGACATAAAGAATTTGTTTTAACTTGTTTGTATGAAAAGCATCAATATGTCATTATCAATCAGATCTGTTAATACATAATATAAGAATCTGGTTTAGAACAACGAAATAATAATTAACGTCTTAACCTCTAGATTTGTATATTTTAAATAACAAAGAAATGGTGGTTGTAAATCTAGAATGTACCGTTATGAACAGCCTTCCGATTGGGTTTGTTGTACACTAGAATACGGTCGTCGTTGTAAAGAATCCTGGAGTGGACAGTCTCTGGTTTCATTTTAGTCTGATTGGATCTGTTCTTGGAATAGTTCCGACATTGTGTTGGGTTGTGAACCCGTGGTAACTGTGGTAACTGTACAGTATGTCTCGTACAGACCGTGTATACTGGGCAAACTTTCAACGACATCCTTTTTTATAATTATTTGTTACTCACAACTCAGTGTGATGAATCAAGTATCGTTAATTCATTAATTGATTGGTGAGAATTCAATGACACTGCAGCTCATTGCTCAATCGAGATCGGACATACATTCTTCAGTTTTATGTGTATTTCTCACAAAACGAAACACTAAGCACTCAAATTTGATTTATATCATCAGTTGGAAAATAATTTACAAAATTATAACCCTACAAGACCGGAAACTGGCGGAACAAAACTTAGGGGCCAAAACGCTAAGACGAACAGAAACATAACAATACAAGATAAACACTACTACACAAAATCCCCACTTAAGTTATCTACCAAATAAGTTAAATCAACATAATTCAAAACGGGACACCATTCCAATGCCTGGTTCAGAGGCATCCTTTTCTTCGTACTAAAGAGTTACGCATAAACTGAATTGTGACATCGTTCTTCGTTTTAACGGCTGCCTCATCACTTTTGACTTTTCTAACCGAAATTCCAGCCGGATAGAAAATCATAAAACTGAACACTTGAGATTGACAAATCTGTACATCTTGATCTTTCGACGGATCGTCATTTCAGCCACAGCTTTAATCTAAAAGCATCAACACCGTTCAAGTAGTATTTGAGAAGACGTTTATCTCTGACAAAACCCAATTGTTGGTACAAATTAAGAGCTGCTTGATTTGTTATCTCCGTCTCTAGAACCACCTGTGTGGAGACAAATAATTGAGATTCAATGAGACATAAATAATTAAATATTAATGACGATTTCTTCACAGGTTTGGGTCGAATGTAGCGCATAGAACTGTAGTTTAGAAGCCTCTGCCAAAAAATCGATGCCTTCTTCCAAACCGTTAGTATGCAGTTAAGATCAATTTTTGAATAGATTACGTTTTGAATCGAATTCCAAGATGATAACGAAGAACCAGGCCACTGAATTCTACAAATACACGCGTAAAACTTCACGTGCTTGCGCTACGGTTTCACAAATTTGACTAATGCGCGTTCCGCTAAAATTTACAGTAGACCGTTGCAAAGAATTTGTCGCATTTGGGGTGTGCCAAAAGCTTCAGTCAAAGGTCTTCAGACTGAATTGTTCCAAGATAATGAGACATGATAACTTGTATCTAGGGTGTGTAGATTGTTGTGGATTCAAATGATCCTTCAGAAGTTCGTTTACCGTTCAGGGGTTCGTTAGAAGGAACTGAAAACTCTGTAATCACTATGAATAATAAATGTCAAATTGTATGACTCAAACCTCTTCGCATTTGTGGTCAATCATTGTTTGGATAGCTTTCTGTACCAACGATGACCCTGAAACAAAAGAACTTTATAAATATATATAGGACACATTCTTCGACAATCTAACAAGGTATCATAACATATTGACAAAGTTGGCTGTACTCCAAAGCGAAGAACAATATGAGATATGTTAGATTCAATTGTTGTAAAATACACGAGAATTCTGGCTGGTTGCTTCGTATGTACGGTGTAACTTCCTGTATACTGCACAACCGATTTGATACACCAATTCTATTCACATATCCAACAAGTGAAACTAATAATTGACAGCTGGGTCTGACAAATGTTTAAATAGCTTAATATTCGCATACGACTCCAATTGATTTGTTCTTTTGCTAAATTTCCCATTATCCTTTTGCAAGAGCTGCATTTGTTATCAATAATGTTTAAATAATGAAGTTCTGATTCTCAAGATGAAAGGCTTTTGTATAAATTCAATCACTTTTTCAGTGTTTGCAAGGAATTTGGTCTGCTGATAAAGTGATCATCTAATACAACATTTTATGAGAAGGTTAAAATCACAAATATAGATAATAAACATTATTTCATTATATTAAATATCAAATTCAAATCTCATAATCAGCCTCAGTAGTAAATACTAGAGATAATGTCACCTTATGCTCAAGAGTCAAAAAGTAAATGTTTTAAAAATTATGTGTGAATATTCAAATCACAAACTGCTTCTGAGCTTGGTATTCGTGATGAATGGCAACTTCAGCAGCTCAATAAAAGGCGCTCAAGATTACTTTGGGCAGGTTCAAGGTAATAAGCGTTACTCATGATATTATCTGCCATCCCCAAAATTTTGGGCGAGAGATTAAGGTTTGGTTAGAAATTCTGGATGAAGGTCAATCTTCAGAAGGGTTTAGTTAACTTCAGGAGCAAAGCAGCTTTCTGTTTCGACGAAGTTTTCAAATGTCACTTCCAATCTCAGTAACTGCTACATAAGAGAGACTCTCCAGTTTGTATCCGAAACAGCGTCGTTTTGATTTTGGTAGAGCTTTTCTTTTACCAGGAAGATCGTTCTGTCGAGCGGATGTAGCTGACTTCAGGGATATTACCAGAGTAAGGAGATCGTTGGTGGTAGCATCGTGTCCCAATCTGGAGAGAGCCACTTCAGCGTCATCAGCAGTGTAACCGAGTTTGATGGCATACTGTACGAAAGAGTGCATCGTCTAGAATGTAGAGATAGTTTGAAGAGTTGCAGGGGAGTTTTAGAGTGGAAGATGTTGAGAAGTTGTTAATTTGTATTGTTGTAAAATTGTAAGGGATATAATGATACTAAGAACAATTGATAATAATAACGGGATATTACATCATTATATATACTACCAGCTGATAACCAAGCGTGTCCGATCACGATGTACTGAAAGATTCCATCACGGGAGTCAGGTTACAACGACTGATTGAGTCGGGTGGTCTGGATCAATACTGACCTCTGACCAATCAACATCGCCCAAATAGTATGGGAATCACCAGATCACCTGATTAGTAAGCTCGTTAACAATCTTTTGGAAGACAGGGCAAACGAATAACTCACCCAAATTTGAATCACAAATCTAACTAGCGTGATAATTGGGTGTGGAGTGTGGATGCATTATAATTACCATATTAAGTAAGAATTGTTATCAGGGTTCACAGTAATTGGTCAGCCATTTAGCCATTATGACTTATAAAGTGCAGACATGATTATATGTAAATCCTTTAAAATTCTCTAAATTGTCATTGCCTAAGATGCTGGAACAAGTTTTCGCATTTATATTTCTGTATTTTTACAAACTTTTGCAATTTAACAACAATATAAATCTTCAATCAACCTCCATCATAAGGAATAGAGTGCGAATAGAGCATCTACCAACATCCAACCGTAGTGCCAACAATTTCATCACGCGGGGGAGCCGCTCAAATTTTTGGGACCCAAAGGCAAATGTAATAGGTCTGTTCTGGGGTCGTTCACATATTAAGTAATCACTTTTTGGAAAATTTTTACCCCCCCCCCCCGGCCCCCTCCGTAATCAGATTTACACATAGCTATTGTGTCAAAATTACACTAGCGTATCCATTTGGAAACCCCCCTCCCCCTTTGGCTGATTACGTAATATGTGAACGACACCTAAGCCAACATTAACAAGCTGTAGATTTGTTGGCAACCGCCATTGTTTCTAATTGTAGATCAGAGGACAGCAGTCTTTCACAATTTGAACAAAAATGCCTATGCTGTTATGTTGGAGAAAAATAGCCTTCCATTGTAGTCATTCCTTTCTATTGTAGTCGTTCTGTGCCTCACTTTATCAACATGTCCATTTCGTAATTTTTATTTTGACATGTATGGACTTAAAGAGAGGTTTGGATAAAACTGCTACCTATTAGGTAATCATCCAAAACAACATTTACCGTGAAATATAGATATTAAAAATACATAATAAATACCTAAATAAATGAATATAGTTAACTAGAAACCAGCAGTCTCATAATCACGCTATAAATTAATCAGTCTGAAAGATCCTTAACTCAAGATATTTAAGTGTAGGATATTATACTTATTGTTATACAATATTATACTTATTGTTATAGCATGATCTTCAGTATCACAAGCCTCAACAGCTCTAAAAGTCAGGGTTTTTAGGGTCTGTGACAACTTCATGTTCACAATAATGTGTCTGGTTTAAATTATGGAAGAAGTACCGTGAACCATTTGAGCATCAGATTTAGGATGGTGAAGATAACTTTCAACAGGTTCAGGTTTATCATCGAGATCAGTGTCATGTGTAATCAATAGCGGGAATAATTTTCAGGAGGTTCGAGTTTAGTTTAGATTGACAATTAGAGCTAATGTGAACCCTAACATTTCAGCAGAGGATTACAACATTACTTTACATCCACTGCCACAACTTCAGGAACAGCAGCCAGCCACTGCAGTCAGCAACAGCAGTCAGCAACAGCAGTCAGCAACAGCAGTCAGCAACAGCAGTCAGCAACAGCAGTCAGCAACAGCAGTCAGCCACTGCAGTCAGGAACAGCAGTCAGCAACAGCAGTCAGCAACAGCAGTCAGGAACAGCAGTCAGGAACAGCAGTCAGGAACAGCAGTCAGCCACTGCCACATACGATAGACTAGCCAGTTTATATCTAAAACATTTTCTCTTCCGTTTTGGAGCTTTCCGTTTAACAGGAACTATGGTATGACGGGGAGATGACGCTGTTTGAAGGAATATAACCATAGTTAGGAGGTCATTGGTGGTAGCATCGTGTCCCAATCTGGAGAGAGCCACTTCTGCGTCTTCGACAGTGTATCCGAGTTTGACAGCGTACGGAATGAAAGGGTGCATTGTCTAGAGTCTAGAGATAGTTTGAGAAGGGGAGTTTGAAAAATGTTGAGGAATTCATAGTTTGATAGTTATTTTAAGAAAGATATTATATTTTAAACAATTGTAACATTGATAAATTCATCTACCATCTAATTTATCTACTGTAAATATTATCAGTAAGAGGACTTGTGCTGCATAAAAACTGTGACCAGAAAGCCGGGGCAACTGCAGGTAATATCATGTATTACTGAAAGACAAATATCTGCTTACATTTTTTCCTTTTGAACGCAGTTTTGCAAAGTGATGCGTAATATTAGCAATTAGGAGGTTGATTGTACAACTGGTAAATTCGAACTGACTTTTCAAATTTTCGCCCATTAAAAAATAATTTGTCTTGAATATTTTCTCGAAAATTATGAACGCGACCTACATAATTTCTCGAAAAACATTCAAAACGTCAAGTAATCTACAAAATAGAAAACATTAACAAGAAATGCTAACTGGCCTTGAGGGGATTGATCTTCAAGAGATGGAACTCTATTGTTCTTAAACTAAAAGTTGACAATTGTTGGTATTTCAGGAATTTTAAGTTTGTCCATTTAATGGCCTGGCGTACGTTTTTAGCACAATTGTTTGTGTAAGATTGCTGTCCCTAAATTCCTCTGATCTGCAATTATTGAACAAAGACAAGTAGAAACAATGGCGGTTGCCACTAAATATACAGTTTGTTAATGTTCAATAATAATAAGTGTATCAATGAAGCTTCTCAACTGCTTATTTAATGTGGCCTTAAATGGACACAAGTTACCTCTTGACTCGCCGGACAATACAGATAAGTTGCTCTTATGCTATATTTAAACGCAGTTTGATAATAATGATTATCATTCTGTGCGTCACTTTATCGACATGTCCATTTTGTAATTTTCACATCACCATGTTAGGCACTTTGTCTACGATGATTCGAATCGACTCAAGTTGTTTTTAAAATTTATAATATTATTAAATTGCAAATATTTTAACATGCTAAGAAATCTGAATTTGCATTTCATAGGCCCTAAAATGGACATATGAAGTTAAAAAAGCTAGGTACTTTGATAGGTACTTTTGTAGTCGTAAATAACATTATAATGATGTTTTTTATTAAATGTCTTGGACGACTTCTTTAAAGGATGAAGGAGTTTGATAATTTTTTATTTATTTATATATTTAGTTATATATTTAGTTATATATCTAGTAATATATTTAGTTATATATTTATTTATATATTTATTATACTGGAATCGTGTAATACATGGATTGTCGAGAAGGGTAAAAACAACAATTAACATTAACATTTTAAATCCACTCACTAAATAACATAATCGGACTCTAAACATAAAAAGAGTGGAAGGGCCGGTACTATCCGACATCTGTATGCACAATATGTTGAATTTCAGGATCAATCATGTTCAATATCTTCAGTATCACAAGCTTCATCAGCTTCAGAACATAATGTTTAAGACCAAAGACAACTTCATTCCACATTCAGGAATGGAATCTCGTTAAAATTATTGAGGAGGTTTGTGGTTCCGGTTATTATGTTCATGAACATTGAGGATTAAGTTAGGATAGGTAATAAGATCAAGAACTAACTTCAGTCGGTAGCTTTCTGTTTGATCAGAGTAACCACAATGCCACTTAGCATCAGGAACAACAGCCAGTAACTGCTACATAAGAGAGACTCTCCAGCTTGTATCCGAAACAGCGTCGTTTTGGTTTTGGTAGAGCTTTTCTTTTACCAGGAAGATCGTTCTGTCGAGCGGATGTAGCTGACTTCAGGGATATTACCAGAGTTAGGAGATCGTTGGTGGTAGCATCGTGTCCCAATCTGGAGAGAGCCAATTCAGCGTCATCAGCAGTGTAACCGAGTTTGATGGCATACTGTACGAAAGAGTGCATCGTCTAGAATGTAGAGATAGTTTGAAGATTTGCAGGGGAGTTTTAGAGTGGAAGATGTTGAGAAGTTGTTAATTTGTATTGTTGTAAAATTGTAAGCCCGATATAATGATACTAAGAACAATTGATAATAATAACGAGATATTACATCATTATATAAATCCTTTATGTCGTGGTTAAATTGGTCTGATTACCAAGCGTGTCTGATGTCTATCAAGATTCCGCCACGAGAGTCTGATTACACAACTGATTGGATCAGATTGTCTACCCTGTCTGTCAGAACGCTTGTTATAATGCTGGAGAATCATCTGACCTGTCGACCAATCAACATAGCAGAAATCTAAGGATCACATGCAACTTACCCTCGAAACGCTAAATATGTATAATGAACGATCGATTTAAAAGTAGTTTTGTATGAAGTGGAAGACACTTTCTCTTGAATCTAGGTTAAAATCAATTCCTTCCACTGCAAATTAGCCCGGTTCATAAAACAAAATCATTATCAAATAATTGTGGTAATAGGTTTATCTGTTGTTCCTTAGGCCAAATAACTACCAAACAAATTTTGAAGCTTCAACTCCAACCGGAATTACCCCCACCCCCCTTCCACGCCCATTTTTTTCATCAATTTTTAACAGGTAAAAATCTTCATATCATTTGCACTGCAAATGATATGATATTATACATGACAATAACAGCACAATCAAAAGTCCGACAAAATACTTACGAAGCCATAATATCACCGCCGCATTAATACAAAATAAAGAATTCTCACCTATTTTTTTCCGCCGATGATTCTTGTCGACAGCCAACATTGCTATGTAACCCCGGTAACTCCCCTTTTTGTGCTCGTCTAATTTACACACTATCGCTCCCACTATCTCCCCTTCTACTTTAGCCTGGGTTATTTAAACAGGTTAACTTTAATAATAATAAGCTAAAAAATAACTTCAAAACGAACATGATATAACATAATAACATTAACATGCAGAAAAGACTCATAGCAGTCAAACATCTACCATGAAGCAGAGAAAGGGCCAGTTGTGGATGAAATATCTATAAGTATAGATGGAGTAGGGCTCTGAGAGATCCTTGGTGATAAGCTCGATAATCCTGGCGAGGGTAGTTTCAGTTTCGTATTGGACCAGTTCAACACCGTGATCCTCGCATTCCAGTCTCAGTTCGGATAGCTGCGTTGCTATCTGGGGATATGATAGAATTTATTGTACGCTTTAATGGCTTGGGTGTGTGACCCCATATCCACATAATTAAAAATTTCCTCCCAAACCCATTTTCAGACCCTTCTGTGGCCCGCTCGCTTCGGCCCGCTCGCTTCGCTCGCAGCGGCTAAGTTACTTTTCCAACAGGGGCGTGCGCAGGATTTTTAGAAGGGGTGGGCTCCGAGGCTACTGCGGCAGGGGCTCGGGGGCGCAGCCCCCGGAAAATTTTAACTGGATTATATGCTAAACCAATAGGATATCAATACAGAAGGTTCAAAACAGTTGATTAGACACTTGGTTATTAGTAATATTTTAAGGGGGCTCGGGGGCGCAGCCCCCGGAAAATTTTAACTGGATTATATGCTAAACCAATAGGACATCAATACAGAAGGTTCAAAACAGTTTATTAGACACTTGGTTATTAGTAATATTTTAAGGGGGCTCGGGGCGCAGCCCCCGGAAAATTTTAACTGGATTATATGCTAAACCAATAGGATATCAATACAGAAGGTTCAAAACAGTTGATTAGACACTTGGTTATTAGTAATATTTTAAGGGGGCTCGGGGGCGCAGCCCCCGGAAAATTTTAACTGGATTATATGCTAAACCAATAGGATATCAATACAGAAGGTTCAAAACAGTTGATTAGACACTTGGTTATTAGTAATATTTTAAGAGGGCAGGGGGCGCAGCATCCGGAAAATTTTTAACTGGATTATATGATAGACCAATAGGATATCAATAGAGAAGGTTCAAAGTAGTTGATTAGACACTCGGTAATATTTTGGATTCAAAACATTGGACAAATTAAAATTAAAGATGGCACGAATTTTAAGTCATTTAGAGAGGAAAAATTTCCTCTCGATACCCAATGATTCAACTGCTCTTTGCGGACTGCAATTGTCAGTCGCTAACCAAGAAATTTCCTCTCAGATGCCAAAAATTTCCTCATTCTTCCCAAATTTCCTCCCAGATATCTGGTGGGTTTGCCAACTTTGTGGATATGGGGGTGTGTCTTTTGGGGTATGTTTTTATAATTAAAGCATGTTATAAATTCTAGAATTTCTTTATTTGTTGTACATTATACAATTACACATTGCAATTGATAGTTATCTTATTAGAGGCACGTGATAATCGACACCTTATGGTTATGACCTGGAGATACAACTCATAGTATGATAATACCGACTGTGCATACCAATGATCTACATTTTTGGTGAACAGTGGTAACAAACTATGTATTTATTGTAGAATTGTTTCATTTGTGAGTTTGTTTTGTGAGTTTGTTTCGAATAATTGAATGATCATTATAAGATTAGTTAAGCAGTTCTCGGTCTTACGCTGATTCAAAACGTTATCAATTGATAAATTTCAGAACTGATGAAGATGTAGACCATCGAAAATATTTTTGTGTGATTAACTGCTTGTTTCATTTGTTGAGCTCACTAGTGGAGGAAAAACAGAATTTTCACCTATCAACATTACGTCATGCGACTCTTAAACAACGCCCCACTTACTCATCTTAATTAATGAATTAGTAAATCAATTAATTTAAAATTAAAATACTCCACACGTATAATTATTTTTGTTCCTACCTCCTTGTGGCCATCATCCAAGCCGAAGTCGATAGTAGAGTTCACCTCATTTTGCTTATGAGCGCTTGGCTCAGACTCTATAGGAGGGGGCTCTATATCAATCATCAGCTCCCTGGACCGAGTCACTGCATTCTCAGACTTACTGTTTTTAAAATGTATGTATTCAACTGTGTAGAAGCAGGAATATAAAAAAGAAATCTTAATTCAAAATACATTATTAATTTATAATGCTCAGCGGGAGCTTGTGACGAAATCATTAGCTCAGAAAAAAAAACACCTAGAAAATGCAAACAAGTGTTAAATGAAACTGCATTTAATAGGATGTAAGTAAATTAGTTGTATACTTATCTATACATAGTATAACAGAAAATAACTTAATAGACAGAAAATATAGTTCCTGAGAAAATTATAAAACTTTTAGTTCACAATAACTTATTAAATGTAAATTAACTTATAGTCATCATGCTTCTATTGTATTGACACGTCTTGGTAAACTGGTTTTCAAATTACTTGATAATAAATATTTGTTCAACACAACCTTAAGTTTTTATAACCTTAGATATAACGGACATCTGTAAGCGTGGTTAATATTGTTTTAGACTTGTGTTATGTGTATACAGTATAAATCTATTAAAAACGTTCTATTTAGCCATCATCTCCGTTTTTAGTGACCTTATCTAGCAGATTATTTTGCGAATCAGGAGTTTTGGGCGGATTCTCCACACGATGCACTTTACCATTACTCATGAAGGATAGTGGTCTCGGGGGTAACGGCTCCAATTTAACAGGCGGAGGCATTTTGGCAGCTGCTTCTTCAGCTGCTTTCTTGAAAGTGTCTGCGTCCATCTTGTTCCACGTTTCCGACACTTCCATCTTCCTGATGAACTCTGCGGTTACCCTACTGTAGGGATAATCCAGGAAATAGTTCAAACACTTGTTCGTTAACCAGGGAATGTTGTATATGTGAGCCAGTGCTGTCATGTCCTGTAGCTGACTCAACCTTGTCAGTTTCCCGATCTCCCCACAATAAAGAGCCCTGAAGAATCGTGTAGCAGCTGGTTCCTCAAACAATTCCATGAATATTTCACCCTGCCCTAGATCTGTGATGAGGTGATCGAAAACTGGGCTGTTCAAACTGAGTATCAGAGAGTTGGCTTTCAGTGTCTTTTCATGTTTCAGTCTGATCAGGATATTTCCGTGACATGTGTCGGATTTGTATTTGACACCAAAGTCTATCCCCTCGAGCAACCCAGTGGTGCTTCTCTGCAGCCAGTTAATTCTCATCCTAGAACAAAAGGTTGTATTACAATGATGTCAGACTAAAGTATGGACTAAAGACTATGTATACAGTATGGTAATTATCTATGTATATGTGTATCGTAAATTGCTATTACTATTTACATAAATTGAGATTTGAGTAGCAATTCTAGTGTTCTTTTGTGGGGAACTTGAAAAATTAGACGAGGAGGAGTAAGAAGTGTTTGTGATGATCAATATCTTCAGTATCTACATCACTCACTTCAATATTTTCATCACTCTTGAAAGTATTTTTATACTTTCAAGATGTTGACTTGAACGTTAATTGGTGACTTAATACACCTCGTCTCACTTTTCAAGTTCACTACTACAATTATAAAAAGCTAGAATTTTTACTCAATTAGTATTGATCACAATCTTAAACTTTGTCCGACTTTCATACTTTATTAATTGAAGTTTGTTTATGTATGATTGATAGAGGATGCCAGAAAATTAATCTTCTTCGTATTAATATAATTCTGACTGTACTCATATTACAGTTATTGTATGTTGTCTTTCGTTTCTGTAAAACACTATTTCCTTAACCCAAACAACCATCGGTGATATTACCTCAATGGTTTTAAGTAAAAATCACGTACTTAAAACCTTGCAAAAATTTTAAATCAATATCATTGTCTGATTTTGTCTATAAAAAACTCCAAAAAAGATTGTTACATAAGAGACAATAGCCCTTCTTAAGAGCCCTTCTTAAGTTAAAATTACCGCTCAGAGAACAATGAAAAAAAGCTCGTTAGCTACCAAAACAGACTAGACACACCTCAATAATTAGATTCAAGCTCAAGTGTTCAACTAGGACACACCTGTTTTAATTCGTGCTAATTCATTTAAGGATGGATAATCAAATGGAGTCGAAATGTTTAAATAAATTGTCGTCAAAATAAAAATAACCATGTCTTCAGTCGAGTTCTATTGCAGTGAAGACCAGCTTTGTTTTGAATCCGAATAATTTTCATCTCCTATTACTTTTATTTCTTAAAACATGATGCAGGCATTACCCCTATTACTGTACTTTAATGCGATAATAACTCACTACGAATTGTTATATTTTCATAGGTAATGGTATCTGTTTTGGTAGGATTGCTACTACTGGTAGTAGGTGGTACATTTCCAGCACAATGTACAGAGAGATTCTGGGCCATAGCCCACATGGCAAACAACGAGAACGTCCTTGGCTGGGCCTTGGCTGCAGGAGCAAATGCACTTGAAACGGACATAACATTTGACTCCAATGGTGTACCAATAACTGCATTCCATGGCTCTCCATGTGACTGCACTTGTCTTATCACTTACGGAACCTGCCAGTTCCCCGTATCCCAGATCTGCTCAGAGCCTCATGACATCAGTAAGGTGTATGCATACTTCATGTCCCATCCACAGAGAGAGCAAGTGGCGTTGCTATATGTGGACAGCAAAATTGATGGAGTGCCTCAAAGATTGGAGAGGAAAGCAGCTTTAAACATCGTAAAATTACTTGAAGAAGAGATTTTTGGAAAAGGATATGAAGGATACGTTGTGGTTGGAGGTGGAAAGGAGAGATATTTGAAGTCACTAGCAGAAATAGCAAAGCTATCTCAATATCAAAGCAAAACATTCATCACATATGATGGGTTTTCAGAGTTGAGTGAGGGTCTACAATATATGGCTAAATTAGATTACAATAACAAGTTACTGTCTGCTGGCATCTCCATGTGTGCTCAAAGTTTTTACAACTTTGAGAAGGACGCAGTATTAGGAAGAATTAACAAAGCAAAGGGAGTGATAAGTGAAACTATCATCTGGACTGTAGATAGAGAGGATCAATTTGACAAGTACTACAACTATGGAGGAAGAGGCATTATTTCAAATAACATAGCAGGGCTGGTTCAATGGGCTAAAAAGAGGGGGTACAAGCTTTTCACTAAAGATGATGTTGTACCTAGCACTACAGCAGGAAGAGAAAGCTTGGTTCTCAACAGAGGTACTTGCCACTGTAAAGCAAAAGGAGATGGCTGTGTGATCACTAAACCTGCTCCCGAACAGTCTGCTTGTAAATGTACGTTTACTTATGGTGAATGTGCTGGTAAAGTAGTTGGTTGCAAGGATGTCTCCAGTGCCCAATGCAATGCACCTGATAACTCCCTGGAATCATGTTTCCAAGGTCTTGGTGATTGTAAAGGATACTCAAACAACCTCCACACATGTGAGTGTGCTTATAAAAAAGATGGCTGCATAGTCTCAAAACCAGCCAAGTTCGGAAAAGCCTGCAGATGTACAAAAGATGACGACAAAAAATCTTGTGAAGGTGAAGTGGTGGATTGCCGACAACCTGAGTCTCACTACTGCGCAGATTCAAGTTCATCAGATTTAACAGTTTCAACATCATTACAGTCGTGTCTTCAAGGAGGTGGTGACTGTGGTGGCTATAAGGAAGACCAGTGTAAGTGCAAGAAGAGAGGTACTAGTGGTTGTGTCATAAGTTCACCTGCACCCAAAGATACTGCCTGTTCATGTACAAAGAAAGGAAGTGAATGCAAAGCTTCTGTTACTATATGCAAGGATGAAGGTCTAGACACCTGCAAGGCTCCAGACACAACCCTGGCCTCTTGTGCGCAAGGATCAGGGAACTGCAACGGATATCATGAAGGGTGTGAGTGCTACTATGTTGAGGAGGGATGCAGAATTTCCAAGGCTGCACCACCTGGAAGTGCTTGCAAGTGCTACAGCTATTGGAGCTTTGGTTACGGGTGCTATGGTGAAGTTGTGGGATGTGGTAATCTCACTTCTGATGAGTGCAAGAATCCTGACACAACAGTTCAGAGCTGCCACCAAGGTTTAGGTAATTGTGCAGGATATGAGATTGTTTAGACATTTAATGTAAAAATATATTGATTCATTATAATTCAGAAAAGAATTTTCATTTAGTCGATCAATTAGCTAAACTATTTAATAATTTCCAAGCACTCAAATAACGAATTTGTAAAACCTGTCAAGAATTAAACATAAGAATTGGCATAATAAAGATAAGGGGTAAATCACAAGATGATTGCAATGCTTTATGTTACCACCAAACAGAGAAAGAGGCCTGGTGGCTAAAATATAAAAATTGACTAGGAATCTGTTTTAGACGGAAAAGGTGGCTATTTCATTATGTTTCACACTCAATTCCATACCATACTGTATCGCGCTTTGCTGATTATATTACTGAGGTATTATTAGTTATTCATTAGTTTTTCATAATTGCCAAAAAAAAAGGGAATAAAATTATCGTCGACGAGTCCAGAACCCGCATCCTGCAGATTGGAGGAGAAGGTCCTAACCAACTAAGCTATGCAGTCATGTTCAAGAATGTAATATTTATATCTATAAACGCATAAGAATTTTTAGCACGTTCCTGCTAAATGTTCGACTAGAAAAGAAGTCGACTAGAAAAGTAGTCATAGATTCTTAGGAATCAGTGAGAATTTCTAGGAATTAGTGAGCACATTTGCCGCGCATTTTTTGTGCGCATCTTTGTCACAAGAATAAACACAAATCTAGCTAGATCTTACATAATATGCGCCCTGAGAGTGACTAAATTTAAATTAATTTGAATATTTTGTTGTTGACAAAAATCAGTCAATGGCTATGGATATTATGACTAGAATTTAAATTCTTAAATTCCTCACTTTAGCCATCGGGGAAAGAGGGAGCTGCAAAAAATTTATTATCAAAATTTATAAAGCCACTAATTATAAAACCACCAAATCAATACTGCAGTAGTCAGCCAATCCCTTTAAAAGATACAACTTCAACAACAGATCTACCTTGTGATGCCAATGGATTTCCAACAATAATAATAATAACAATAATTGAAACATTTAGATTATAGTGGCATAACAATTTAAAATGCACAGGTGTGTCACAAAAACAAGTCAGGATACAAGAAAAAATGAAAAGCAATCTACATTTCGATTCCAAACCATGGAAAAATTGTAAAGACTTGATACACTAAATAACAAGATACAGTAAAACCTGATTTACCGCGCCCCGATTTATCGCAAACCCTGATTTACTGTCGCCATCTCCTTCCTCCAATTAGGCTTAACATGCTTAGTGTAAACAAACAAAACCCTGATTTAACACAAACCCTGATTTAACACAAACCCTGATTTACCGTGGATGTTTCCTTTCGCCCAAACTCCGCAGTAAATCGGGGTTTTACTGTAAAGGGTATGCACTTACCAGTAGAAACATTGAAAATATGTTTAGATTAATAATTGATATCATAAGCACGTTTGAAAAGAAACATTTTCAGATACTTTTTAAAAGAGTCAAATACATGAAATTCTTAATTTCAAGAGGAATATAAATAAGCATTGCAGTAGTCCAATTTGCAGACGATGATGCTATTAACAATAAGCTTGAGCTGAGCTTTACTAAAGAGACTATCCTTTTCAATAGCTGCCAGAAACGGTATAATTAAGTTACTACTTTCCATATAGATATCATTTAACATATTATAGTACAAACATGACATGGGATAAAGTTGGATACTTTTATTATGCTTGCTGAAAGCTGAACTTCAGAGTTTAATATAATCAATAATATTTGGTGATTTAAACTTAATCATTCGGCTGAGTCTTCCAAGGAGACAATACACAAATATGTAACTTCACAAAGATCCAGGTCCTTCTGCTCAGAAGCCAGATGCTCTGATCACTCTGCAACCTAGCCACTAGATGAAGGGTCTGCTTGACCTTTGTGTTACATACTTTGAAATAAATAACAATTTAGGAATGCCTCTACAGCTACGGATCATTTAACAAAACATCAATGACAATGTGTGAAATGGTCATATTTCCTAATAGTCAGACTTGACTACATTAATAATGGATTTGATAGTAAATAATAAGGTGCTTCGTGATAGGATAATGGTTGTAGGTTTATAACCTACCAGGACGCGCGCCGAGTTGGACTCGTCGACGGTCCTGATATATGGAACAAATATTTTACGAGTATCACCCGTTAAGGTTAACGGGTGATACTCGTAAAATATCTGTTCCATATATTGGGACCGTCGACGAGTCCAACTCGGCGCGCGTTCTGGTAGGTTGTAAACCTACAACCGTTAAGGATAATGGGTATGATTCGGCATTTTTTACTGTATGTATCGTGACTATTCCACTAAGTAAAACAAAATTTAAGTAAAGCCCGCCTCCCGGCGCGCCCGCAGTGGCGCGAAAGCACATGGTTAATGGTTAGGTGAAAGCGAGTTCACATCGCCTTCGGCGGTAGCTAGGGCGCTATTGCAAGTGAGAGGGCTCTGGTTAGAGAAAACAAGCGAGTATTCATTAAAACTCTCCTACTATTGTGTATTGAAAATTGTAGAACTAATCTTTTAAGCTGACCACTAAAGAAATGTACGTTTGCCCATTGTTAATGGACTAACCCGGCGCGCACTACTTCAAAGAAATTTAAATGAGTATGGCATATGGAGTATCATCCGTCAAAAAGTACGCGTACGGTAAACAATTATTAATTGTTTTATTTATCGTGATCGTACTATTTTTTAAAAGAGCGCGCTATATCTCCACCGAAAGCACATTTAATTTGATATGTATAAAATATGTTTATAAATTGCTTGATTCTCCACAATAATGGCAAAATGCATGCACTGTTGCATGAGCCACGCCGAGCTGCGAAGGATTGATATGTGAATCAATAAAATGGCGTGCTCCGATACGGATAACCAAAATCGAACAAGAAATTATTTACAATCACTTTCGAAACACATCGACAAAAGCTACATACACTTTAAATATATTGTGTTTTTACGGACAAATTAAAGAATAGCTCTTTTGATCATTTCATTATCTTTCAAAAGTATTCCAAATAATTTGTATGAATGCATATTAAAGTTGTAGTCGAGTCAATAATTTAATATTTACCAAGACACCCGCTATAATTTTAGCGCGATGCACTACTGGGCCGCGCGTGCATCCAATAATGCTTCTCGCAACCACAGATCTTAATTTTATGCAGATCGGCGAGATGCGAAGGATTGACATCGTGTTAACGGGTGATAAGCTCGTAAAATATTTGTTCCATATATTTTGACCATTGTTAATGATCTGGCCCGGCGCGCGCTACTTCGTAGCACTTGCCGTCGGGCCATTATAACATAACATTTCGAGAAGAAAGCGGCGCGCGCTACTTCGAAGAAATTTAGACGAGTAACATCCGTTAACATATATTAGGACCATCGACGAGTCCAACTCGGCGCGCGTCCCGGTAGGTTGTAAACCTACAAACATCGTGAATCAACCGCTATAAGTATAATTATCCCTTGTACGTTTATAACTTACCGAAACGCGCGCTGGAGTTGCCGAGTTGGACTCGTTGACGGTTTGGAACAAATATTTGACGACTATCATCCGTTAACCAGGAGAAACATTGTTGATTGTATTTAATTGACGATGTCAATTCATCGCAGCTCGGCGAGGCACAGTAGCGCATCTCGCCGATCTAGCGCATCTCGCCGATCTAGCGGTCGTTGCGAGAAGCATAAAATTGAGTGCGCGGCGCGGCACAGTAACGTATCGCGCTACAGCATTGTACTTGTAGCGCGATGCACTAGCTAATTGACTGGCCCACGCCGTGCACAGTGCATGTGCATCCAATACCAAATAATGCTTCTCGCAACCATCTTCGCTAGATCGGCGAGATGCACCACTTGGCGGATGATGATTAATCACTCTACACTCGACTGTCACGTGACTTTTTCTACTCGTTCTCTAGCTGGTCCTGAACGACTATTCGAAACCCTAACCCTCTTATCTGATCCCAACCCTAACCCTAACCCAATCCTTAATAAAAGCATATGCTGAAACCCTAACCCTAACGAGAAATTGGACTAACTTCCTTATACGGTCATATCACGTGATCGAGACAGTTTTTCGCCAATATCTCGTCAGGGGAGCATTTTAACCCTATGTCATAGGGGGTGATTCGGAATCAGCGTCCGAAAATACATCGATTGAAGTTGGTTTCAACTGTCGGGGGCCCTTTTAGAACAATCTCGAAGATCGACTGTAGAGTGATTTAGCACGCTCGCCACTTGGCCTGATCGCCGAGCTGTGAAGGATTGACATCGTGAATCAAGGAGAAAGACTAAAATGGGTCCACCTAGCTCAGTCTATTTATTGGCTAGGGTTAGGTTATGTTTAAGATTAGGAAACCAAAGTAACGGGTGTTATTTGAAGTGGGATAGATTGACATGGCTCGTTATGCATGATGACGCGTTACCTAAAACGCGAAGACCTATAAGTATAGTCATGTCAGGCGTTATCGGGTGATACTCGTAAAATATTTGTTTCAAATATTAGGACAGGACCGTCGACGAGTCCAACTCGGCGCGCGTCCTGATAGGTTCTGGTTATAAACCTACAATGTCAGGCGGAGTTTTGGATAAAGATATTTATACAGGGGGGATCAGTCAGTGTGCAAACGTGAAACGTTGGGTCTTATATTAATATTGTAGGACTAAGAACCGGCAACTTTGTCGCTAAATTGCATTGGCTTAACGAATATCAAAAACTCCTTTTATGTTTTAGGTCATATTGAGTTTTTTAAATAAATGAATTGATCGTTTAAATCTGTTTGATTAAACGTGCTGAAAACGAAAGTTAAAGCTTAATATAGCTATATTATATAATGAATGAATAGTAACTGCGAAGTCAGCAAACATTACTTCATAGTTCATACCGAACAACTATTGTCCATTTCTAACGGATCCTTAACAGTTAAAAAGTTACTAGTTTTCTTTCCCGGTACTTGGGGTAATTCCCTCCGCAAGGATTTTATCTGATACTGATTTGGTATGAGACTACCATTCCCGTGGGTAGCGTTATTGTCAGCGCACAGCGGCAGATGATTGTCTAAACAACTGTTAACCGATAAAGTACTTCGGGGAGACATTTGAGAGTCTGGTTCTCCCTCCTCCGTGATGGCCATCATTGGCACATTGAACATCACCACACCCTGCCTCCTCACACAGGGGCTGTGAGTTTTACGCCGGAGTTTTGTTATAGCCGCCACGTGGACGTCCCACTTGCAGCCGGGGTACAAACAGAGTCTGTAGGTTTTGACGACCAGGAAGTAGAGGGTAGGGAGGAGGCAGCCCCCCAAACATATCCACGTGTTCGCAAACTCAGCTGCTGGGCGAGGAATGTAAACTGACCGGATTTTCAGCAACCCTGAACATTTTATTGTCTAGATCAGCAGTTTATTTTTTTTTCAATACGTGAATCAATCGCAATTGTAACGGTCAGTTATAATACAACTTTTGATAGTTTAATGTATAGCGTCAGCGAGACTGATACAATTTATTGTATAAAAGTTAAAATACTGACCAACAACAAAAAACGGTAGGATAGTAAGAAGAACAGCAATGATGGCTAAACAAGGCGTAATGTAGTTCCTGGTGATGGTCAGATCCTTAGCAAGACCGGATTGTTTCTTGAGAATAGTAGCGGTGAGCCGTCTGTGGTTCTCCTCTTTTACCAACAGAACGAAGTAAGTGATAGAGATTAGAATTATAGGTAGTATTAGAAACATCCCAAACGTCCTGTAGGGAGGAAATGAGTTGATCTTAAATTAGTAGAAAGCCGTGTAATCTTTACAGAGACAAAATGTAAATACACTGCTTTGCAATTTTCACTTCATCCTGACTCTATGTGAGGGCTTTGAGTATGATACATTCAAATATTCAAATGTACGTGTTTACCAGGTTTTACATATTGTGTAAATCAATGTAATGTTTACCTCGTCCTCAGTCGCGTTCAACAAGCAATTTGGACCAGCAAAAGGAGATTTGATTGAGTAAAAGTTAATCATATCGAATATTTTGGGTTTTTAGGATGCACTTACTTGAAAAACATTTTAGTGTCATAAAAGAGAAAAGTCTGGTAACAACCCCCACGGATAGGATCATACAGGTAGGGATGGTCCAGGTAGAGAATGGGATAAACCTGACAAATGAACATGGTTACTATGGTAACATGGTTACTATGGTAACATGGTTACTATGGTAACATGGTTAAACAAGGGATAAATAACATGAAACCTCAAACAGCAACGCTGCGACCAGGGGGAGGGATCGGAGGAGCGATTACTTTACTTCGACAGCCACTCACTAAGAGAGCGTGACTGAGTGGGAACCATCAGAGTCAGTAGCTCACCATTAAACATTAATAATACATAGTGGGTCGCATTTGCAACATTTCCATTGCAATCTAGAATACCTTATAGTTTTAAGCTACGTTTGTGCAGATTAAGGCGGGAAATTTTGATATCAACGTCTTGTGAGGTGTAGAAAATACTTGATTACATTTGCCTCATCGTATAATTTACTATTGTTAGACGGTGATTGACGGTAACAAAAGTCATTTGTTTACAGAGGGTAACACACTCGACCGATTATTTGTGTATATAATATAACAATATAACAATATTACAATATTACAATTGTGTCTTATGATTGAGATTATGTAACATGGTGTCTAAACAAAATTATAGTTACCCATCACCGATCAATACAAATCTGTATAATATTTATAACAATCTTTATCACTTAATTTCGAGCTTTATTTATTAAGTATTAAGTTGTCATCTACAGAGTAAAATATATCCATCATAGCACACCAACATGGAGGATTAATCATAGCACAATAACCTGGGGATAGCACAGTTACCTGGGGGATAGCACAGTTACCTGGGGGATAGTACAGTTACCTGGGGGATAGCACAGTTACCTGGGGGATAGCACAGTTACCTGGGGGATAGCACAGTTACCTGGAGGATAGCACAGTTACCTGGAGGATAGCACAGTTACCTGGGGGATAGCACAGTTACCTGGGGGATAGCACAGTTACCTGGGGGATAGCACAGTTACCTGGAGGATAGCACAGTTACCTGGGGGATAGCACAGTTACCTGGGGGATAGCACAGTTACCTGGAGGATAGCACAGTTACCTGAGGGATAGCACAGTTACCTGGGGGATAGCACAGTTACCTGGGGGATAGCACAGTTACCTGGAGGATAGCACAGTTACCTGGGGGATAGCACAGTTACCTGGGGGATAGCACAATTACCTAGGGGATAGCACAGTTACCTGGGGGATAGCACAGATGATCCATATGTTTTGAGCTATTCGTTTGCTAACTGAGACAGATATTGTGGTTCGTAGATCGCTGTATCTGAGAGAGTAAGGCATAAATAAAATTTAACTCGGTATAGACATATTGAGAATATTGTGATTATTATAAAGGATCAATAACTTTATTATCTCTACTCTGGGTTAAATGAAATCAGAGGAGGGGGGGGGGGGGGATGCAACGTCACTTAATGTCAATTAATGTCAATTAATGTCAATTAATGTCAATTAATGTCAATGTCAGTTTTGCAAAATTTTGGAATACTGACATTAATTGACACGATATTTTTCGACCAGAGATTATGTAGTTCTACCATATTTTTAGCACTTTAGAACGTTTATATCATCAATTTATTCACTACTATCACATATGGAAATGTGAAATGTGAAAAAAATTCAGATCATAAAACAATAAAACTAAAATAATACGGTTTTCCGAAATTTATTTTTCTTAAATGGGCGTGGCCATCCAAGGGCGTGGTTCTAAACATAATCAGACTTAAACCCACATTAAACGAAATGCCTTCATGACATTTATATTTGAATAACGAATCTTAAACAGCTAACATTACTCCTTCATACTAAAAAAGCCGATTCTAGATATTTTACCTGTATAAGAAACCAATAAAATATGGGCGTGGCCGGTGGGGACCGAAGATGGAAGAGTTGGAAGCTGCAATTTTTTTTGGTGGTCTTTGAACCTAAGGATCAACAGATAAGAACATACTCATAATTATTCAAGGACATTTTGTTTTTTTGAACCGGTCTAACTTACATAGACGTGAATATCTTGAATATTTATCGAATAATGATAATCTCAAATTTCAAGACACATTAATGTCAATTAATGTCAATTAATGTCAATTAATGTCAATTAATGTCAATGTCAGTTTGGGGTTTTTATGGAATACTGACATTAATTGACGTTGCATCCCCCCAATCAGAGATCTTGGGTAAAAAATTAAAAATACTTTCAGATAATTTTGTAATGTGGAACAAAAAGGTTCCCAAAAAGAATGAAGCTAACATAAACATGGCAGTTCTGCCCCCTCCCCCCAAAGTTCTGTTAAATCTACCTCACGATCACGATATCGAACATAAGAACCACAGCATGAACTATGTAGACAGTGTAAAGGTATGTGCTGAGGAGCGCGCACCACCAACAAAAGAGCACTCCTAGTCCCCACCTCTTAGCCACCATGCTGTAGCTCATCACTGAAATGTAGCAGAATAACGTTAGATGAGATAATACGAAGATTTCATCCGATTTGTGGTGTTTTACGCCTATCCAACATATCCATTTTAAATGGGTGTCATTTTATAAGGAAGATTGGGGGATTACTTCATCACACGTGCAACGAGTTATTTAGTTATTTAGTTATATTAGCTGTCTCAGCTTCCCAGAAAGATCTGACATCCCAATAACACAGGGCGGTGTGTGACAGTTATTTGATTGGAATGTCTGGGATGCAGTGGCACTTTATAGCCGAATCAATCTGTAGATTCTATCTCTCTGCTACGAATCAAATGAAAAGGAACAAGTTTGAGAATAAAAGTGTAAAATACTTACGTGGGAAAATAGTGAATCCAATAAAGAGCTGATTAAAAGCCAATGAAACAAACATGACAAAAGTGAAGTTATCAACTTCTTTCCAGCGCTCGAAGATGGCAGATATTATCACGGAACCATTTGATATTATCGTGAATATCATCATGGCTAGGTACAGGATACAGAGAACTGAAGAGTTCGGTATTAGCTGGTAACTTTAATATCATCATGGCTAGGTACAGGATACAGAGAACTGAAGAGTTCGGTATTAGCTGGTAACTTTAATATCATCATGGCTAGGTACAGGATACAGAGAACTGAAGAGTTCGGTATTAGCTGGTAACTTTAATATCATCATGGCTAGATACAGGATACAGAGAACTGAAGAGTTCGGTATTAGCTGGTAACTATGGTAACTGGTATCTGATGTAACTATCTGATCACAAGAACCTCGGTTTAAAACGCTGAAATTGTCTCAATTAATTAGAAATTTAAAAGTACTAACATATTGACACGAACAGTGAGCGGTCAACCTCCTGGTCGAGGCTGTCTGTCATGTTGGGGAAATTAGCGTCGAAAATAGTCGCCATCTCCGAATGTTCCGTTACTGCGCAGTGAGATAATGTACCATGAAGTAGCACGGAACAAGCCGTTGTTTACATTCTAATAGGTGAAAATATTCAGAAAATGTATGATATGTAGCTTATTTTAATGATATAAAATCAGCCAAAATGAACTGGATGAAACCTCTACAAAATAGAGAACCCTGGAGGAAAGCTGTATCTCTTGGATTGCGACTCTGCAGTATGGTTGACATAAAACACCGCTGCATACTTGGTAACGCTGCTTTCGAGAAGTACAACAAAGTATGGGCTACTGGAACCCACATAGCCCTCATCACAAAGATAAAGTTGTATGAACTTATGAAGCATTTGTTACCCCTGCAACAGGGGTACACTACTGGAACCCGCATAGCCCTCATCACAAAGATAAAGTTGTATGAAGCATTTGTTACCCCTGCAACAGGGGTACACTACTGGAACCCACATAGCCCTCATCACAAAGATAAAGTTGTATGAAGCATTTGTTACCCCTGCAACAGGGGTACACTACTGGAACCCACATAGCCCTCATCACAAAGATAAAGTTGTATGAAGCATTTGTTACCCCTGCAACAGGGGTACACTACTGGAACCCACATAGCCCTCATCACAAAGATAAAGTTGTATGAAGCATTTGTTACCCCTGCAACAGGGGTACACTACTGGAACCCACATAGCCCTCATCACAAAGATAAAGTTGTATGAAGCATTTGTTACCCCTGCAACAGGGGTACACTACTGGAACCCACATAGCCCTCATCACAAAGATAAAGTTGTATGAAGCATTTGTTACCCCTGCAACAGAAGTACACTACTGGAACCCGCATAGCCCTCATCACAAAGATAAAGTTGTATGAAGCATTTGTTACCCCTGCAACAGCTGGACGGCACCAGAATGTTTTGAACAAAATCGATGTCTGCCATCGTAAAGTTTGATCGTTGGTTGTGCAATCGTTGGTTGCACGAATCGGAAACTGCTTTAATTAAGTTTTACAATTTTTATAAGTTCAACTTTGTTGAAGGATAATATTAAGATGCAAAATAACCATCATGATGATGAAATTATAGTATTATTATAGTATTATGATGAGTTTAAATCGTCTGACAAGGAAAATCGACAAATCGTCGACGGATCAATCTCGGAAATGCCGAGTTGCATATAGTTTAATTAAGCTTACTTGGACGAATAGGTTGGAGGCTGTCTTAAAACCAATAACCAAAGCGACTTAAGTCGTCGGGAGTAATGGTACCTGACAAATGTTTATGTCAAAATTTGAAGTATGCGCTACAACTACAAGGTTATCGTAAATCCTGAGGAACCCAATTGCTGATGGCAGATATGCGCGTACTTGACATTTCCCGGAGTATGTTTATGGGAGGTGGTAGGGTCTTTGAATTTGGATGTCATTAATACAGAAAGTTCGAATCAAGACGTCCAAACCTGCAAAATGATATTTGAATTGTTTGTGACAAATGGAATGGAGGTATCTGAGGACGCATCACTCTGTCAACTTCGGCCGTAGCCATCTTAGGAGTCCAATAAATGTAATAGATTTATTTGTCTCACGTTTCGACCTCTGGAGCGACCCTGGAGGGGACACACGTGCAAGGCAACGCAACGTATAATACTACACTAATCATGAGGATTTAATAAAAATAGAATTCAAACAAAAGACCTAGCAGTATAGAAACTTAAGCATGAGTGTCTACTTTAGATAAGCCACGTCTACATCTCCTATCACGCTCCCGCGTATGGGGAACTGGGAACTGGTCTAAAAAGCGGGTCTAATACGAATTTGAAGTTGAGAGCTTCTGTCATCACCCTATAGTTCTTCAAACTTGGGAATCTCAGAGTCTTCGGGACAGATTACTACTGCCACTTATCAGCCGATGATTTGGAAAGTTAAGGGGCCACGCGGTTAGGAAATGCGAATTGGAAACATTCGGTGTCACGACGTGGATTTTATAGATCAAAAGTCAAAACGCACCGAACCATGGGGGTCTAGAACTTTAAGAACTAGGTAGTGGTATTTGTAAGATTTAAAGCTGGATCTAACTGTTGATGCTCTGACAAGGTGATGGTAAATAACTTATTTAATGGCACGTGGGTTGTGCAGTGACGATAAGTCGCTTTTGCTGTTGCTGTATATGACTATGTAGGAGTCTCCGGATGTCTCAGATTTTCATTAAGGTGCACTTTGTCTAGGTGGTCACAAATAGACAGCCCAGAATTACCGGGAGGTTGACAATTATAGACGACAACATTTCGGGTAAGTGTAACAAATTCAGATAACTGAGTTAACTCTATCTATTCTATAAAAGCTCTAAAAAAGAAAGAAAGCTCTAAAGAGATTTTGACGTGAAGTGGATGCAGATCGTGAAAATACCATACTATCGTGAACAATCACTAAACTAAGCAGTAAAACTCAAAAGGACGCGTTTAGATTAATTGGAAAAGCTCCAACTGAACAGCGGGAGAAGACCGAAGAGCTCGCGTGGATAATGTAAGCATTCATTCAATCAATCTCTTTTCTATTTTTATAGTTCTGTTGTAACTTTTAGAGCACTCGAGGGATTCTAAAAGGCTGTCAACCATCCTGCCCGACGACCGATTGAGACAAATTATAAAAGGTTTACGTTCATTTTCATATTTAGTAGAATTTCAAGCGGCATCCTTCATTTTGAAAGTTAGGGACATATTATGTCTTCTGGGACATTTTCTAATGAACATAAAATGTTCATTTCAATTTAACCATCATCCCCCATTTTGAAAATTAGGGACATTATGTGTTTTGGGACATTTTTAATGAACATTAAATATTCATTTAATTTTAAAGAAGCTGTCAACTAATCATAATTAATAGCGCGCCTTCTCGCTCGGTTCATTAGATGCAATAATCAATGTCAGTCTCAAATTTAAATCAAACCTCCATCTTTAATTAATCTGGAATCAAGTCGAGCGATAGCTCAATCCGACAGCATCAATGATCTAGATTACGTCGATTTAATCGGTAGAACATTTCACAATTTATTTCCAAATTATGGTGTCCAAGAAAAATATAGAGCTTCCAGAACTTCAACACCAGGAAATCCCGACAGAAAAGGCGCGGGCCGGGCGGATTTATTGTTTCAAGGCCAATCTGATCAGGTACCTGATTTGTTTCCCGAATAGACTCAGAGTCTATTCAGAAAAAACCGGACATTTTCTTGAAAGAATCATCAAATAAGACTTCATAACACTATACCGGTTAATAAGGTTATAATTCTTTCCGTCCGATTTTCTTTTCTTTCCTACTCTTAGGGTGCTACGCCCATATGAACCTTGTGCGTTAAAGTTCGGCAGCTTTCAGCAATAAGATTAGGAAGAGACAACATTCCTATTTTGTTGAAGATAGCTTTTGTGTGAGATGGCAATTTACATTTTTCTTTGTCCTAGAAATATTTAGTTGTTATATTCAATATATAAGTAGCGCGAATAGCTTTCTTTTCAGCGGGAAAGAAAAACTGTATGGAATATAAAGATTTATTATCCCAAACAGAAGCGCAATAATACAAGTGCGATTGAATTATGCTATCGTGTGGCATTTTTGCGCTTCGTTTGGGATGGAACTTTTAAGTTTTATCACTACGCCAGCATTTCTAGATATTTTGGTTTTAAGCTGTTTGATATGCTGGCTTTAACTAAGTTTTGAGTCAATTATGACGCCTAAAAATCGTTCATGTTCACTCTTCACTAATCAACGATTTAACAAATATGTAAATCCTCTGGTGATATATTTAATTTAGCCTACATTAAAGAAAAAGTTTAAGACCGTTGTTTTAAACCCACGTTTGTACAGTATTTAAAACACTATTTGCACGCATCTTCAGTTCAGTGTACGTGTCCGCAGAAACAATGATGTTCGCGTCATCTGCGAAAAAAGTATATTGGAAGTTCGTTTATAAACAAAACAAAACAAAACGAATTTACTTAAATGTAAATACAAGTTTTGTTTTGTTTTCGTCATATATTTTAACAGATTCTTAGAATCTGGGTTCTTAGAATTGATAAAAATTAGTTTGGTGTCAACATTTCAAAACAATTATTTACTGTTTTGGAATTGTTGATACCGAACTAATTTTTTACAGATGTTAGATTGGATAAAACAAACACATTCTTTTCGAAACCAGTATAAAAGCTGATGATTTGTTTCCTTGGTCACACATTATTCCTTTGGATTCTTGAAATCTAGGTTCTCAGAATAAGATCATAAAATAGCTCGGTGTTTCAAACTTTGAACATTTGCACGATATTTCGCGGTTCTATTGCGATACTGATAGTCTAAACGCGATAGCTAGCGCAATCTAGCGCTAACTAGTCAAACGATATTAAATACCATACAATACTATTATTAATACTAATATTTTTATATCTAGATCAAGACAAACATGGCTGGAGGTAATGACCGCAACGGAGACAAACGCCACGAGGACTTTACCGCCTACGCCGTCAAGCTGGGTTACAAGCGGGAGCTATCCTCTGAAGCTGAACGGAGGGTGGGGGGCAGTGCCTCGCTCAACACTAAGATGATGACTCTACTCAACCTAGTGGAGGAAAGAAGACGGGCAAACGGCAGTACCAAAACCAAGAGGAAGTGCTGACTCTACTCAACCTAGTGGAGGAAAGAAGTCGAGCAAACGGCAGTACCAAAACCAAGAGGAAGTGCTGACTCTACTCAACCTAGTGGAGGAAAGAAGTCGAGCAAACGGCAGTACCAAAACCAACAGAAAGTGCTGACCACGATAAAACACAAGGGATTGGAAAGTTATATAGAGCTTTGTTTTTTTTTAAACCGATACCATCGGGGCATTACCACTTGAGTAGTTAGGGTCATGCTGAAAACGATAGGATGAACTAGAGTAGTCTATGTAATGCGGCAAACAGACTATTATATTGACACTGATTTTTGCTGAATCAATCGGACTAGTCGGCTTCAGACTGGTTATTTTGAAATCTATTTTTGTTTGTGATGATCAATGTTATTTGACATTAATGATTTACTAAAGATTTTATACGTTAACGTT